AAAGAATCCAAGCCTTGTCCTCTCTTACCTCCTATGAGCTTTTTTTTTTTTTTGGTCCGTCATGGAGCTTGAACTCAGGACCTGGGCACTGTCCCTGAGCTTTTGTGCTCAAGGCTAGCACTCTATCACTTTGAGCTACAGCTCCACTTCCAGTTTTCTGGTAGTTAACTGGAGATAAGAGTCTCACAGATTTTCCTGCTTGAGCTGGCTCTGTACTGGGATCCTCAGATCTCAGCCTCCTGATTTGCTCTTTTAATGGTTTCCAGAGTTCAGTGCTCATGATTGCAATCATTGTTTTTATATGCTTAATTTTTAAGTATTTTTAATCAAATTAATACTTTTACATGTTAAACAATCCAAGATACAAAAAAGAAAAAAACACCTCTACCAAAAAAAGAGCTATTTCTCTTTTTTTCCCCAAATACTAATGCATTCAACTCATGACATAGTTTCCAAAGAAAAGTATTTACTTCTATATGTCTCAAGAATATTTTTTTGGGGGGAGTCTGGTCGTGGGTCTTGAACTCTGGGCCTGGGCGCTGTCCCTCAGTTCTTCAGCTCAAGGCTAGCGCTCTACCACTTGAGCCACAGTGCCACTTCTGGCTTTTTTCTTTTTGCTTATGTAGTGCTGGGGAATTGAACCCAGGGCCCCAGGCATGCAAGACAAGCGCTCTACCACTGAGCCACCTTCCTAGCCCCAAGAATATTTTATAATATTTTTATACTGCTTCTAAGTGATTTTCCACTTTAGGATGTTACTGACTTCCTATTATAAATGGTGGCAGATCACCTTTTTAATCCACATTCACTTGCTCTCACTCAGAATTTCCTTCTCTGTCCAATACTTACGTCTTTTGTTTTTCTCTTCCTTCCTTCCTTCATTTCTTTGTGACACTGATATTGTTAGTGTTAGCAATGTAACTGTGTTAATTGTTGAGCTATGTAGTAGACTATGCTCATACGTTTTTCTTCCACATTTTGTTTTTCAAGAGTTAACAGCTTTTTCTTTTCATTTGCTTATTCTATGTATGTCTCACCAAACTTTCCCACATTCTTCACAGAATTCTAAAATCCTCCCTGTAAAAATTTTTTATTTATTTATTTTTGTGCTGGTCCTGGGGCTTGAACTTAGGGCTTGGGCACTGTTCTATGCATTTTTTTTTTTTTTACACTCAACGCTAGCCTTGAGCCACAACTCCACTTCTGTTTTTGGCTGTGACTAATTGGAGATAAGAGTCTCATGGACTTTCCTGCTTGTGCTGGCTTCGGACTGTGATCTTCAGATCTCAGCCTCCTGATTAGCTAGGATTACAGGCGTGAGCCCATAGCACCTGCCCCCCCCCTTTTTTTTCTAAAGACATCCATGGAAGGTTTGTGGATCCTTTTCTTCAGGCTTCTTAAGCCTCTGGTGTTTCTCCTTTGGCTTGTAGGCTGTCCTCCTCTCATATCTGTGACACAGAAGACAGATACTCCAGCTGTGGTGTGGAGAGGACACAAATGGAAAGTACTGGCCCCACAGGCTGGCTTAGAGCTGAATCATCCAGCATGGCTTCCCTCTTTCTCTTTCTTTTCTTCTTTCTTTCCTTCCTTCTTTCCTTTTTTTTGGGGGGGGGGTGTGGGGCTTGAACTCTGGGCCTGGACACTGTCCCTCAGCTCTTCAGCTCAAGACTAGCACTCTACTCCGTGAGCCACAGTGCCACTTCTGGCTTTTTCTGCTTATGTGATGCTGAGGAATGGACCCCATGGCCTCATGTAAGTGAGGCAAGCGCTCTACCACTGAGCCACCTTCCCAGCCAGGCTTCTCCCTTTGCTACTTTCATTATAGATGAACATAGAGACACAACACCTGAGATCAAAGTGTTCAAGGTCTATTATCACTTTCCATTGGGAGGTGGCGGTCCCTCCACTTACCTTGTTTATGCCATGGTCCTCTTCTTATGACAGATGGTTTCTAACGCACAGGGGAGAAATATCTCTAATAATATCTCTGGGTTAAACAAGCATTTGTGGCTTTGGGAAGTTGGGGACGTGTGTTCTAAATGTCAACCAACCAATTTAGCAGTAAACTTGGAATAGCATTCCTTCCTAAGTCGCGAGCTGTCTGTTTTAATGAAATATATCTCTTGCATTCATGACAGTAATAAACTGAGACCTCGACTGATTAATAGTTGACACCAGATGGATAAACACCCACCCTAAGTAATGAGATAGTTAATTATAGCTGTGCCATGTTTAAGACTTCGATTAATCTCTTGAGAGTGTATAACTTCACCTGCACTCCTGCACTGGCTCAACGCAGTGAAGCAGAGCTTCACAGAAGTCGGCTCCTCTATTAGCTCCAAATGCAGGTCTGACAAATTGAAGACCGAATGGATTCAGCTTACTCATTTTCATTACGGCTGTGTGGGGATCAACTTATAGGAAACATCTGAGAAATAAGGCAAAGAAAACAGTGACAGGAAAGGATTTAAAATCCATGTGAGTTTACTTCCATAGTTCCAACCTCCTATTTATCCCAATGGTCTCATGTGTATAAACCCTGAGTTACAGATCAGAGGTGCATCCCAGTTTCCTGAAGCCGTGAGTTCAAGGATCTACTTCAACTTTGGTTCACTCTCTGACAGCTGTATGGACAAAAGAGAATAACTCCATGCTCACAAAACATACTGAATTAGAACATATATGGGGTTGGTCTGAACACTCATACTGCTCATGCTCAGTGACAGACTTGTGGGTTGCAGGTCCGGTGTGCATTAGCATAACCTGCAGAACCATGCCAGACTCAGTCACTTCCAAGCTCTGTGCCGGGCCATGGACATTGCCTTTCCATGTTCTCTGCTCTGATGTGCAGTCAGTTAAGAACCATGTTACAGACTAGAGACACAGCTGTCATTGTGCCAATTTTTAATAATGTGTACATGCAAAATAGCTTTCAATTTATAAGAGAAAGCAGTACTTTAGTCTTTCCAAGAATTTGGCCAACTACAAGAAAATTGCCTATTTCTCTAGTATTTAGAGATGTGTGTGTGTGTGTGTGTGTGTGTGTGGTGTTTCCTTGCTGCCAGCCCCTGAATACACACCCCTCTCTGTATCTCTACCCTCTCTGCCCCTCCACTTGCTGAAGGAACAGCACCTATTGTTTCTGTCAAATCCCAAGCACATCACCCTTTTCCTTTTATAACTCTTTTGATGTCTCATCTGGGACCCAAGGCCTTACTTGACCAGACTGTTTTCTCACACTAACCGCGGGTCCCCAGGACTCCTCACAGGTCCCTGAATGACTGCTGTCATCTGTAGCTTCTAATTCTGCAGGGACAGATGCAAGCTATCCCTGATCTTTTGGCCTTCCAATTCCATCCTCAGGTCCTTACTGCCTCTGTGCTTAAGCAATGCCTGAGTCTGGCACATAGCAGGTGTCTCAAAAAGACTGGAAATCCCCAATAAGTTTCACTTTCCTATTAGTGTGTCTTCTCTGTTAGGTTCTGAGCTCTCACTAAGGGCACTTGAGTAGCATGGCAGATGTAATAGAAAAAGTGTTTGGAGACATACTTGGGCTTAAAATTTTTCTCCTCTGCTCACTAACTGTAGGGTCTGGGTCTATGCAATGAGGGTAACTGTCCTTTGAAAGATTGTGAAGATCATATGTGTGGAGTATCAAATGCTCAGTGACATTTTCTTCCGTTGACTTCAATCTACTTAACTTTACCAGATATTCTGCAAAAGTCCTAAGTGGAAAACTTTGGTTTAGGAGACTGGCTTCCAAATGTTCAAAGGTAGCTATTCCATACCAGCTAAATATCTGGTAGAAACTTTGAAACCTCCCTCTCTCACCTGTTCATCGGGGCAGATTTTACCCACTGTCTCACTAGTTCTCCAACAGCTCTCTGAATCATCATCTTTATTTTAGTCAAGAAAAACTGAGTGAAAAGGAAGTAATGGATTTCCCTTTGGAAAAAGCTAGGGAGTTTTCAGAATCTACCTATAGACTCACAGTGCTGGGCAATTTCCTTTATGTCATGTGAATGTGTCACATTCAGTCTTGTGAAAGCAACTGCTTGCTTTTACTCGGGAGGCTGAGATCTAAGGATAGTGGCTCTAAACCAGTCCAGGCAATGAAGTTTGTGACACTCTTATCCCCAATTTAAAAAAAGCCTGAAGTAGACATAGGGTTCTATTTATTCTGCCTTAAGCAAAAGTAATTCAGGCACAGCACCCAGGCCCTGAGTTCAAGCCACAGGACTAGCACACAGACAAAAAGTCTTGTGAATTTTCCTGCCCCATCTGGCTTCAAACCATGTTCCTCAGATCTCAGCCTCTAGAGTAGCTGGGATTATAGGCAAGGACCAACAGTGCCCAGAAAAACAAAAGAAAACAAAACCAAATTAAAAGCAGTGTGTTTAGCCCCATACAAGGAATAGGATAGTGGCTGACTAACACACCACCTCCTAGATTTTCCCTGTAGGTTCATATCCCTCCAAGTTGACAGCAGCAGCATTATCTGCCTGGTGGGAAGGAGGATAACATAGGCAGTTCTAATACACGTGACAGGGCTTGGCACATGGTAGTGCTTAGCGTCATCTATGTCTATAACCATCTGAGGCTGCTGTGCTTGGAATTTATCCTGTGGGTCCCTTATGCCCTTCACTGTGCTCCATTATGGGACAGAAAACCACAAAACACAATCACTTCTTCGTGCTTGCTCCACTGAGAACACTAATAATAAAAGACATTTTAAAGGCAACGAAAGTAACTTTATTAACTACTATTCTTACCATGAAACACCTATAAGAAATAATTACAAAATAATGCAGTCTCTTTTTACATACTTTTGGTATCATCCCCGTATAATGATCCTTTCACAGAAAGGACTATTTACAGTAAATGTAGATATAAAGCTCATTGTTGTAAATACAATTGTAGATGACGTGTAGAGGCAACACATACCAAATTGGTATACTAGCAATGGAAATGTAACTAATGCAGAATAAATAACAGCTTCATACTTTTATTTTCCTTTTTTATTTTTTTAAAACAATCTCCAAATACAAAAGGTAGATTATTCAAAGTGGATTTTCATATACATATACATATATATATATATAATCTTGCTGCAAACAGTGGATCAAAAGGCAAAAATGTTCCCTTGCATCTTCTACTTTTGAAAACTCCTAAGATTATTCATAAATCCAATTAGAAAGAAGGTGTGCAAAACCACCAACAATACTGGCAAAACCCTGAAAACCTGGTTCTGGCTGATGTTGAGAGAAAATAAAGTATAAAGCACTACCTGTTCAATTAAATAATGTTTTCTTTGTTCTTTATGTTTGCAAGAATGCTAAGAGCTAAGGAAATGCACTGCATTATTATCTGGGCTCTGTCCAATACAAACTTCACCAGGATCTATAGGAAATGTTGGATTATTCAATGACTCAGAAGTAGAATAGCCATTAAATGGTCCCTTCATACTTTATTCCCTCTTATAGAGACTGAGATACTTTTATACATTCTGATATCTGAAACTTTGGTTCTTTTAAAGCGTTTTACAAAAACAAAATAATTTCATGAATACAGAACTATACAGAACTTTGATTTCCTTTTGAAGTGTCAGTTTCTGGATGAGGTTCTGTTGCTCGTGTAACATGCTCAGAGGCAGCACAGGGCGGGCTGTATGGCCACCTTTTTCAATAATACTGATTCCCATCCACGGCAACAACACTGCCTATGTTCTGCAGTCCCCTAAATCTACTTCTTTGTTACTTGAAAACAGAATTTTGTACAAAAATATGACTGTTTCTTTAGAAAATAATATATAGTTCTTTTTTTAATAAAACCTGGCAGATAGCAAAAATGGTGTATCAAAATATGGTAAACAAATGTTGTAAAATACTAAATCATTAAAAATATCTCATAGAAAGACATTGTGCTATGAAGTTCTCTCCTGAAATTCAAGCAACGTTTTCACTGTACATCGCAGGTTGAGCATCCATCCTCCTGACTTGATTTCATGATCTGTCATCACAGCAGCACTGCAGTAACTGTCTAACAAATGGCCCTTTCTGATACAGCTGCATTTTCTATATACTTGGACTTCAAAATTAATAAAAGAGACACCCTCTGGATCAGTGGTCTTCAGTTCTGTTGCAATATTAACTCCATCTGAAAAACTCAAAAGGACAAAAAGGCCATTTTTCCTGGTCCCACCCACAAACGGCTGCTCTCATTGGTCTGGAGTGGGGCCTAGGTATCAAGGTTTATTTTTGTTAAAGCTCCTCAAAAATTTCTACTATGCAATACGAGTTGAGAATCATGGCCCAAGGCACATGAGAAAGAAGTCATTCTTAACTGCACATATCAAGTGATTGTCTAGGCATCATTCACTCGGCGCTCAGCGACAGTCTCAATGTTAAAAAAGGAACTGGGTATACAAGATAGTCATGGAAGCCAAAATGAAGAGTCAGTGAGCTTGAAACATAAGCACACACAATCCCACATATTTATGTATGTACGACATATACATATATAAAGTATTTTGATCAAGAAGAAACTAGCATTACTCTCATTTGTTCTTGATAACCGAAAAACAACACGAACCAAACATCACAAAGCATAAACATTTTCTAAGACATTTCCATCACTCTGACAAATGTCAGGTTTGTAAACCCTCAAAATGCACTGCCATGAACACAGCAGATTTGTTACTCAGGTGAGGAACTCAACTGAACCCTAGACTTTTCTGGAAGAGCAACAAGGATACCGTGGCACTGACAGGTGAAAAGTCATGCACAGTCTTCTGGTTGTTGCTTAGTCCACATCTTCTCTTGCTCGGAGCATCTTTGGCTTGCTAGAACCATGTGACCATGACCACTTTGTTAGTGTTCACTTTGGGACAGCTTGTGAGGCAGCAACAGCTGTATATTAAGCAATCATCTCTCCATTCAAAGAAGAGAAGACCTTCCCTCACTCCTCCCTCAAATAACAAGCACTTCACAAGGGAGTAGTAAAAAAAAAATACAAGAAAACAAATAAGCCTAACATTTTTTCATGAAGTTAAAAAAAAAAATGTAATTGAACTGAAAAACAACAGCTGAACAAACACCACAGCCCAGTAGTCTAAGGCTTGGTAATCAGTAAAGCACATTTCCTTCTGAAGGGTCAACACATATCTGGGCACTTGTCTTGCTGTACATTCTCGGTAGTTCTTTTACATCTGCATAATACTTAAAGTGCAATTGTCCCAAGGCTTTTGTTTCCGTCACAAATATTATAAAGAAAGAGCTATGTTTGGGGCGAAGAAAATATGGCACAAGTAATCCGTAAAGAACTCAGGACTTCCACAGTCTCTGGCAGGCAGCAAAGCTGTCTGCAACGGCGGCTGGCAGGTGGATTTTATACAACAAACTCTGGAACTTCGTCATGAGTGAGATCCAGGGAAAAGTATTTGCTGGTTCTTTTGACTGGAAAAGCATCTTGGATGTTGACACACTGCTGAGCCAAGCAGCTGTTGCAGTAGAGGCCCTCGTCATCCAGTTCGTGGCCACACCCAAAGGTGTAACTCTGAGCAGTGTCCTGACACAGACCTGCAATGCGCAGGAAGTCTTTCTGGTAAAGTCTGATGTCATCAAGGCTCAAGCTATGTCGATCGGTGGAAGTCTTTGGTTTTCTACATATAGTCTGCCAAAGAAGGAAAAGTTGAGACAATTTTATGAATAAGGGAATGGTGACTGGTGACTGTATTTGCCCTGCAAAGAGGTAAGCTGCATAAAATATTATGTGTCACAAAGTGGTTTCCAACCTGTGGTTTCTGGGAAATATAAAACCACTACTATCACTACCAATACCAATGTCAGTTAACATTTTCTGAACACTATGTGCTGACTTAAATAGTGTGTATAAGCGACTTCAACTTTCTTACAGTCCTACAAGGCATGTTATTCCTTATTCTCTCCATTTTGTAGATAAATTAAACAAAGATACAAATCTCACAGGAATCTATTCCCAGAATTTCAGAAATTGAGCAATTACCTTCAAATAAAAGGTAAACACTACCATTAGTTTTTTTGCACTAAGCTGTGGCAGCACTCTTACGCAGATGTCTGTTATTTTAGTAAGAAATGAAAAAAATAATCTAATTATCACTCAAGAAACACAGTTTGAAGAAGGATGTTTTAAAGAGCCACAGTTTTTGAGTAGAGTACAAAAGAAGTTGGGAGAGAATCACTAGGGGACAAAGGAAGCTCCTGAGCCCTCAAAGAGGCCCTGTCCTGTACCAACTAACAGGTGACAGACTTTCAACCTCATTATTCCCAGAAGTGGTACTGGTAGGAAATATAAAATGGTTTTTCATGGATTAGATAGTAACATGAATGGGTTAAAGAAAATCACCCTTATACCTCTAAGCTTTTGCTGTTGAGAACCACAAAGGATAATCTTGTTAGAATAAGATGCCACTTTCGCTTTAGGCAGAAGTTCCAGGAGGATATTTTGTTAGAAGTAGCACAACTGAGTGGCAACTCCCACACAGAATGGTAGCTCTTACTGATGGAGTGTTTCCAGGCTACAATAGGCTTTCACACACAGAACCATTCAAAAGTCCCCAAGGCACACACACTAATGTCCCTATGTTAGAGGTGCAGAATCTGCCCCCAGGCTGGGCCACAGGGACATTGCTGTTCAGCAGTTAACACTGAGGTCAAAGCTGGGTGTCATGCAGTGAGTCTGGCTCTAGTGCTTGGGCTCTAAGAAGACCTGTTCATGTATACATAGGCTTGCAGATTACTTAGTTTTCAGAGAGAAAAAAACAATATGCTCATGTTCAAAGTATGGCTACTTTAAATAAAAGGAAAGAAAGGGGAAATAGAAAAGGAAAAAAAGGAGTTAAAAGCAAGCAGTATGGAGGTTCCTCAAAAGACTAAACATAGAGCTCTCCTATGACCTGGCAATCCCACTTCTAGGCATTTACCCAAATGACCACAAACAAGGCCACACTAAAGCTACCAATACAACTATGTTCACTGCAGAATGATTTACCATAGCTAAGATATGGAATCAACCCAGATGCTCCTCAGTAGATGAAGGGATGAAGAAACTGTGGTATATATACACAATGGAATTCTATGCTTCCATCAGAAAGAATGACATTGTCCCATTCACAAGGAAATGGAAAAACTTGGAAAAAAGTCATATTAAGTGAAGTAAGCCAGACCCAAAGAAACATAGATCCCATGGTTTCCCTCATTTGTAATAGTATATGTTTAGGATTGTTCTAGCAGATGAGCAGAATAGCTCAATAGTTATGTACATATGACCATATAAGATGATGCTAAATGAAATGAACTCCAAGACATTTACACAGAGGTTTTTCTTTGTTGTTGTTTTTAATGTACTACGTGACTTTTTTGTTTCTTCTGTATGTTCTTCCTCTATAGTATATCCTCTGTTTGTTGTTACTGTATTTGATTTTGGTGCCCTGGGTATTATATATATCTATTTATCTCAATTAGGGAAGGGAAGGGGAACAACAAAATGGTGAGACAAGTGGCGCTGTAGCTCAAGTGGTAGAGCGCTCGCCTTGAGTTGGAAGAGCTGAGGGACAACGCCCAGGCCCAGAGTTCAAGCCCCACGACCGACAAAAAAAAAAAAAAAATGGTGAGACAAAGGACAAAGGGTGAACCAGTGCAACAGTGATACTCACAAGACAATATGTTGGAAATGATCTGTACCACTTGGGGAGGGTTGGGGGAAAGGAGAGTGGGAGAAAATGAGAGGGGTAACAAGTTAGTCAAGAAATATACTCACTACCTTACATATGTAACTGTAACCTCTCTGTGCATCACCTGGACAAAAAAATAAAATTAAAAAAAAGGAAAGGAGTTAAAAGTAGGACAAAGACTGCCAGAAACAGAAAGAAAATTTTATTTTAGAAAGGAAAAAAACAACACAGAGCCCAAGAAAGAGAGGTATAGGGTTGAGTGTGGTGGCTCAAGCTTGTAACTGTAGCTACTTGGGAGGCAGAGGGAGATCGAAGGATTGTTGTGATTGAGACGACCAGGCAGAAAAGTTCATCAGACTCCATTCGATCTATGTCTGGGTGCAGTGGTGTATATCTGTCATCCAACAATATGGGGGAAACAATGGCTGGACGAAGTGGTGCTTATTTGTGTCATACCAGTGACAAAGGGAAGCACAGATAGCAGGACCACAGTCCAGGCTGGCGCAAGCATAATCCAAGATCCTATCTTGAAAAATAACCAACACAAAAAGGGGCTAGCACAGTGGCCTAAGTGGTAGAGCACCTACTTATTAAACATGAGGCTATGAGTTTAATCCTCAACATCACTGAATGAATGAATGAATGAATGCAGGAATGAATGAGAGGCACAGAGGAGGGAGTGCTTAGAAAGTAGCAATGGGTACTAGCTATAGATGAAATCCAAATGGTAAAACCATGAGTTTCAGAGAATTATATACATGCTTTTTGACATTTTAATAGCTTAACCAGATCATCATGCTCTGGTTTACCATACTCTGAAAATTCCATCTTAAAGAAGTAGCCAGGTGTGTAAACACTTCTGCCATAACACACTCACAAAGAGGCAGTAATGCCACACAGACACAGCCATGTATCATACTTGGACACATACAACTAATCTATTTCAAGTTTCCACTGATACCAAGTGAGCAATTAAGTACACAATTTATCCAAAGAAAAGCCAATTCCAACATAAATGGAACTAGCAAAAAAAATCAGAATAAAATGAGAATGTATTTAAAATTTTCCCATAGCTCTAGTTACTACTTTACAAGTTTTAGTACCTGTGGAAGAGAATCAGTACTCTGGCCACGAAGTTTGACAACTGTTTCTGAAGAGCTGGAGGTGGAAGAACCAATTTCTTTCACAATCAATCCTGAGGTAAAAGAGAGACAAACAGTGGATATTTCAAATTCTTCCCACTTCTTCCCACATATGCTGACATACATAGCTCCTGGGAATGTCAAACAGAACTAGTACTATAGAGTTATCTGTGGCTCTTTGGTGACTGACAAGCAGGATGGCACCGATTCTCTTGCAGGAAATAGTCCTGGGGAGTCCAGGAAAGAGTTCAGAGTCTCATTTATGACTGAAGTAAAGACAAAGACTGTAGGTGCAGTGTTTATCTTTACCTGATAAAAGACCATTCCCCATTCCACACCTCACTAACACTGATACAGCCACGTAGGTTTGGTTTGCTGGGGAAATGCAGTGGGTAAGAACTTAGATCTTTGTAGTCAGATAGGTCTGAGCTAGATTTTGACCAGAAAATTCTGGCCATTTTCTTAATCTCCCTCAGTCTCAGTCTTCTCTCATGAAATTGGGCTGATAAAAGCAGCTATTCACTAGCGTTTTCCTGGCCATTAGACAGTGAGTGCAAGTGAAGGGTGAGGAGCATCTGCTGGGAGATGCAGACACCGTGGGAAGGGCTCAAAATGGAGGTCACGGTGAGAATTCAGTTCTGGTCTCTGAGATCAGCGTAGTTCTTAATCACATCAGGGCCTAGGGAAAACCTGTTAAATTTTCAGACAGAAATCTAGGGTTGATATTTCTCTGCAAGCATATGAGTGAAGCAACCCTTAAAATGTTTCAGAAGCCAAAATGATTTACTGGAGATGAGTGAATACCACTGACATTTTTCTTGCTAATGGATGAAGCAAAAGTAAGCAAGTCAAGTCCTAGGTTCACAAGGCTAAATGGCTTCTACTGAAAAGTACAAATGAAAAGGACCTTGGTAATCTTTTAGTCAGCTACTAATAGCATTTAGAAATAGCTTTTTCTTCTTTCTTCTTCTTTTTTTTTGAAGTAGCTTTTTCTGTTCCATTCCTTTACTGTTTGGTAGCATAACATTTTGATCTAACAGATGCCTTGCATATATTGAAGGTTGCGTTAACAACAGCCTAATGTATGCCTTGCATATACTGAGGGTTCAACAATTAGTTTAATTGAAACAGATGTGAAAGCATGCCTGGCTACTCATAGATGGTTTAAATACTCTCAGGTTATGCTGCTCACATCTGGGGTTTGGTACGCACTTCTTTTGCAAGACTTTCTGGAGGCACAAAGGCCCACATCTCTGGAAGATCCTTAAATCTTCACAGGAACCAATCTTCATCGGAACTCAAAGGCTTGGGCACTGGCTAGCATGTGGTGTGGTTTCTCTAAAGATTCCTTGGCAGATGCTCCCTTGGCTATGGTGTCTGCAAGTACTCTTCTCCAAACACACATCTACCACTGAAAAAGTTAGAGCCAAGGCTGGTGGCTCAAGGCTCAGACCACACTCCCAGTATATTTCAACAGGAAAGAGGACAGTAGTTTCCCTCATCTCTACTCAATCTACTAGATCTAAAGTACTATAGTGAGTATTTCCAAAACAGTGCCTATGGGCTCACATGGTCAAGAACTGGAAAACTAGTATGATGCATGGAATCATCTATAACCCTGTCATCCAGAGAAAAAGTGACTAGAATATTATTTTGTTATTATAAATAATGCTTTTGTATACTCTGTAGTGTTCTCATCTTTCTTATATTATATATTGCTTAAAGAGCTTACATGTAATGGCCTATAACTTTCTCTTATGCGAACAGATGATAGCAGCCATTCATTGTTTTTCCTCTTATTGCTACTATAAATTTCAATAAATATGTTTGTGCATCATTTTAAAAAGAGAAATCCTATTGTTTCTATTTAAAATTACAAAATGAATAGTCTTATAAAAGCAAACACAGAAATATATGAAGAACAAGCGGCTGCTCTCATATCTTCCTTCCCAGACATGGAGGCCTGACTTCTGTTCTAGCACTTGTCGTTCTAATATATCGATTCTTCTATAGACTGGAGAATCTCCAAGATCCACTCCAGATGCATTAGGTGGTTTCTCTTCTTTTCTTCTATTCAAGGCACTTGCCCTGCAGTTTAACACAGTGGCCTGGAGTGGCTCTTGTTCCATGGCTGCTCTGATCTACAGCCTCCACTCCTTCCTTCTATTTTTGGAGGCACCTATCACTGGGTCCAGGATAATCTACTACCTCAGGGAGAGAGCTTGCTCTAAGAGCTCACCAGAATGTCCGTTCAGCTTCCTGGACAGGAGCATGTCCTCTGTAATATAGATGCACATGTCAGAGCTGACTTCCAGAGACTCTTCTTCATTCATTGGCTCCAGATCCCTGGGGTCATCAACCAACATCTCTATTTCTGACACAGAAGGAGGAAAAGATACTCAGTGACACAAACAGCAGTAAAGAACACAGTCCTCTTGGGTAGAAAGCCATATAAACATTCATAGTTGAAAATAAATTTGCTACTGGAGGTACAACTCAGAAGTAGATCACCTGTCTGGCAAGCAAGTGGCCCTGAGTACGAGTACAACCAAACACAAACCCCAGTACCACCAAAAACTGAAATGAAAAATTAATTTGCTAATGAGACTCCTCCTCAATAGGAAACTCCAGAGGCAATTCCAAGGTTGCTATTTGCTTTCCTTTTCTTTTCTCAGTACTGCTGTGTTCTCTGCATAACCTCTAATATCATGATTTATCAATTCTTCTTTATTTTTTAATAAAGAGGAAAACCTATGATCCTACCAAGATGACAAAGGGCAAACTGAGCTCAATGGGCCATTTGCCTAGCAAGGGCTGCTGACAAGGCAAAGGAGACATTCATGAAGTTCCTCTCTGCCAATAGCTGCCCCCCAGGGTACTTAATTACTTGCTTTGATATCCATTTAGGTTGTAGGGGAATTAAGGCAAATCAAACAGTTCTGCAATTTTCCTTAAGAGTCAGTATTTGTTTTCACACACTTAAATATAATAGCATTTATCTGAGACAGTAAAAAACTTTAGAAAGTCACACAAATGCTAAGTTTGGCTGACACAAGCCATAGATCCTGTCTTATCCCCTTAAGCTCCTAGCAGCTAGGGGATGTTATTCCTTTTATATTCCCCTATACTTTGGCTATATGAGAGGCCCTTAAGAAACACTTTACTAATTAACTGCATGTCTGAGAATCAAATATTTCTGGCTCACAGAAAGAGTTCTCTTTTTTTTTTAAACCTGGAACCTAGACTAGTACTGGGGTTTAGAGCTTTTATTCCTAGGCTAGTGCTCTACCACCTGAGCCCCAAGAGAACCTTTTTGTTTGTTTGTTTTAGGCCAGGAGGCAGAAGTTCAAGATATCTCTGCCCTTCACTCTATGGTCCTAACTCCAGCCTTATTTAATCTGAGAATGAGAAGAGTAAGCTCCACTTTACTTCCTTCCTATAAATAGTCAAGCCTATGGGTGCAAAAGACATGGACTGGAGGCATGCTCTGTTCACAAACACAAGCAACTCAACCAAATCACTGTGCAGACAGTAAGACACCTCTTTTCTACCTGCATGACTTAAGTTGCTCCCAGACCTCAATTCCACAGAACCAGCAAGTGAAAAGACTACAGAAAGAAGGGAGCCAGTGATGGGGCATGGCTGTTACCATCATCCTGCGAGTCCTCTTCCAGGCGGTCTTTGCCACCGCTCTCCACCCCTGAGGTGTGGGAGCTGCCATGGCTGGTCATGGAGCTGCAAGTCTTCAGCTTGCGGTGGATGGCGCTGCCTGAGTAGCTGTCCTCTGGCCCCGTGTCCCGGGGCTTGGTGTCAGCCTCAATGCCTGAGGTGTGGGAGCTGCTGTGACTGGCAGTAGAATGACGGGACAGGCGCTTGTGCTTCACACTGCCCGCACTGCTCCCGCTGGCCCGTGACCGCTTTTCCAGCTGGTCCATGTCCAGGTCCAGGTTGTCACTGATGTATGATTCCCGGTACTGTTTCTTCTCTGTGGTGAAAACAGAAATCATCAGATTCAACAAAGACAGGTGAAAGGGTGGCCGGCTTAGTAAGCCATCAGGCCAAGAGCAGGTGTGATTTCCCACTGGGAATCTAGTGACGGAGAAGTGCTGAGAACTTGGAGGACTAAGGAAGACTGCGACATGAATGGAACCAACATAGCAGTACAGGTTGGGGGAAGGTAGGACGCTGTGAATTGCCGAGTCTGAAGCTTCAAATATTGAAAAGTGCTTTTCAAAGTGTAGTCACAGACTATTTCTTGTCTCCAAATGCTATTGTTCCACAATGAAATAAGTCTAGAATACTTAAAAACTTCTAGAACAAGGTGACACTACCATGACAAACACTAATGTGATGCTGTTTTCTACTAAAGTATCATTCAACAGCATAGATTAAAAAAAAAAATCTGGTCCTTCTCTACAGACAATTGAAAAACACTGACACCCAAGACTATGTCATAAATGGAATGATGCTGATTACATTTCACTTTATTTTTCCATTTGTTAAATGTGGTCCATTGCTACCTCTAAATGTTCAATGTAATTTAAGGTAAAACTGTTCTGAAAATTTCTTTCAGACTTTAGATTTTCTTTGATATAAGACAGTTTTCCTCCATTAAGGCTGAAATAGTGAGCCTTTATCACCTATTTATAAAACAGAAATATAAAACTACTAGTTTGATTATTTATACTCCATTGACCTCTGATTAATAAAATTACTTTGATTTAGCAAGTTCATGCTGTTATTTATTGTACTTAAGTTTCAATGGGGGTGTCAGACAGACAGATATTGGAAAGCCAGACATGAGGAAGCCCTTCTTACCAAATACTAAAGTACACATATACATTAAGGTGCAAAGTTACAACTGAGCTGTAGAAACACAATGGATAAAAAAAATTGCTTTTGTGTTTCAGAAAATGTATAAGTAACAGATTAGTTTCCTCACCTTTTTAATACTGATGAGAAAAGACACATTATTTTTAAAATGTTAAAAATGGAGCACATGTGGGGACTATTAGATAGGTGTTATTTTAGAAATTGCTACCTAGTAGAATAACTGGACTCTCAGGAGCCTGATCATTAATAGATACAACAGTCTTGTTTCTTGGTGGAGTGAAATCACGTGTGGTCCTGAAGTCTGAATGTAGCCCTGCAGTATGATCATCATCGGTTCACCAGAGAAGGGAAGAGGCCAGGATGCAGAATAGAAGCTAGCTTTTTCCAAATCAACACAATATTACTGTGCAAGTCATCAACATGCCTGTAGGCTTTTTATTCCCTCTGCTGTAAAAGCCCAGAGACCAGAGTCTTTCACATATAACTTCAGAACTGGGTGTAATAAATGTGACCTCTTGACCTAGGACCTAAGAATATGTTCTGGTTTCTGTTTACTCAAATTTTTAAGGACACAGGCATGTTTTTCCTTCTCTTTTAAATGCTATGGAAGAATTCTGTGATCATTAACTACTATGAAATACTTCAACAGTGCCTTAGACAAGGTGACTCTAAATGAAATTTACTGGGGAAAAACAGTCTATATGAAATAAATGGCAAGAACAGGGCTTTTCTTGTTGAAATCATAAAGCCCATATATGTAAGGGAGATAAAAGAATTCAGACCAAATACAGCTCAGAAAATCTTTGGTCTTTAGACCTGAAATTACCTCTTCAGGGCAAATGAGGAATACATCTGAATTTATTGAAATAAAAGATCCAAGTCAGATCTTTATCATTCCTTCATTCTCCTACTGCTACGGCTTTAATGTTTATTCCCTCCCAAAGTCATGTTGAAATGTAATTATTGCTGTAAAATTCATGGATGGACTGATACAGTTATTATGGAAGTGAGTTCCTTGTGAAAGGGGAGCCTGGCTTCTTCTCCTTGCCTTTATGGATGAAACACAGCAGGGAAGCCCTTAGCAGATGCCAAAACTGAGAGAAAGACATTCCCATGATTTGTCAATTACCCATCCTGTGCTATTTTATTACTGGAGCACAGAATAAACTACTCACGTAGGCCCCCAATACACTTGGTATTTAGTAGCAATGGACAAAGCCCTGTTCTGTAGGGCTCAAATGTCTTTGTAACTTAGGACCAACCTACACAGGAGAGTCATTAACTTTTCTAGGCAATAAAGGATTCCCTGTGGCCATCTAAATTGCCAAATTATAATTTACTAAATATATTCCATCAGCTCTCTCAGCTGATGAAATCAACGAATTTCTCACCTCTCACTGCGCCACTGCAGCCACTTCAGAATGAGGCCGATTTGGCAAATCATGGCTCTACACCTAATTCAGTCACTTTATTCTCACAGCTCCCAAGCTGATGACTTCTTAACACTCATGTCAGCAAGAGGGAGATATATTTGTTCCACGGATGAGTCAGCATGGGAAGAGCTGGAAGTCTGACAGCAGCAGAAGCCAATACACCTGACAGTTACACCGAATTCTCACAAAGACAGAGCCAGTTCAGTGTCAGACAGTGGGGAGTGGGGGATGTTCTAATCACTGCTGAGTTCTCAGGGAATCTCAAACAAGATCCCATTTGGATTGAGAGTCAGCTTCTGAGAGAAATCAGTTAAATGCACAAACTTCTTTCAGGAGATTTTGTTTTGGAGAGGACATTCATCCTTTTTCTGCAGCAAAGGAAGGCAAGAGGATGGGTCAAAACTTGCTTCAGATATAGACCTAAGATAGGAATCTGCATTTCAAGGTCCAAGCCCCACCCCAGGTCTAATCTAATTGGACTGCCATAGATCTAACTACACCAAGAATTACCACATCACTTTTTAAAACAAATTGGAAACACTGTAAATTAAGTAAATATGGAAAAAGCATTTTGAGGGATTAGAAGTTGAGATGTGATAAATGGAGGAACCCCAGAATGCCATAACTCAAAATAGAGGCTAACTTTGAGAGTAATATTGTAGTTAAAGTATGTGGTTATAAACTCTAGTACTGTCTTCTTCCTTATGCTGTCTTCCTTTCAGGGCCTAGTACTCTGGGTCCCCAAATAGAAGGCTCCATTCCAACTAAATCTCAGCAAAGCCCCCACAGGACTAGTAGACAAAGTCCTCAGAACAGTGATGTCCCCCTCTTTTGTTTGTCATTCTTATGGGGTCAGACTTGAGATCCTTTGAGATGTCAGTTAGAGAGGCTGGAGACACTTCTGTGACCCACCTTTATTGTCACTTTAACCTAAGGAATAATGACTTTGAAAAAAAATCCAAACTGCTGTGGATAACAGCACTAATTGGGTCGAGGCATACACAGAGCCCTGAGATGTAGATAAAAATCTGGGATGCAGATAAATCCTTGCCTTGTGCTTTTTGTAAGGATTTTAGAGTCAGGTGTGGGGAGCTTTAGCCTCAGAGATTCTGAAGAGGTGCTGTGGTTGGTGGGCCTCCAGGGCTGGATGTAAACAGAAGTGCAAATGAGTTTCTAGAATGCGACTCTCCAACACCATTCTTCAGGAGCTTAAAATGCTGGTTCATGGCAACTATAGAGAGGCCAGAGATGGGCCAGCAGGGGCACCATCTGCCTCCCCTGCCCCCAGGACCCTGTGATACCTTCATTTTCCTCCAGCTTCCGGATGTGGCGCAGGACAGGCTGCAAGTTCATGTAGAGGCGGTGACTGTTGCTCAGAAGCTGTAGGAGGTGTCTGGAACGCATGGGGCACCCGGTATAGTAGATAAGCTTCCTGGCTGAGGGCAGACCATCAGGCAAAATCTCAAACTTCTTTCCCTGTAAAGGAAAATCATGAATCAAGAAACAAAATTCTCATTTTATCGTATAAAACTACATTCCAATAGACACATAAAGCTCACTTTAAAATTCTCTGAAAATAGTTTCTTCTTTCCAAAGATGTTACAGGACAGAGGACAAAAAAATTCTGCAAAGTGTCTAGCAATGGTTTTCAGGAAACAATGACTACATGGGCCAGCTAGGGATTATCTGTGGCCTCTCCATTTGGACAGGGTGTTTGTATAACAGAGAAGAGCCTACCATGAAAGTCCCTCAGATGCAAGCCCAGAACCCTAACAGCACACAGAAAGACACATTCTGCAAGAGATAAACAAGCTTATTTGTTAAACATTTGCTATACTGTGTCAAATACTGTGTGGGGCCCTGGAAAAATAGCAATGAATAAGACAGACAAAACCCCTACCACCCTCATGGAGTACATCCCAGTGGGAAAGATTGTAAATAAAACAAAAAGCAATTGTAGTTCATGATAAAGGCTGAGAAGGAAACAGCAATGACAGTGAAACAATGCAGGCTATTTGGGGCTTAAAAAATGGAAAACAACAGTTGAATAAAAAAAGGGAGCTGATAGTTGGGGCAACGAATGGGTAAGAGAAAGAATGTCATCAATGGGTGACGTAAAAAAGTCCACCCTTTTTTTTTTTAATTGTCAAAGTGATGTACAGAGGGGTTATAGTTACATAAGTAAGGTAATAAGTATATTTCTTGTCCAACTTGTTACCCCTCCCCTCAGTTTTCTCCTACTTTCTCTCCCTCCTCCCCGAGTTGTACAGATTATTTCCAACATATTGTCTTGTGTATATTGCTGTTGTGTTGGTTCCCCCTTGTCCTTTATCTCACCATTCTGTTGTTCCCCTTCCCTTCCCTAATTCAAATCAATGTATATACAATACCAGAGTACCAAAATCAAATACAGTGACAACAGAGGCTATACCATAATGGGAAGAACATACAAAAGAAACAAGAAATCACACAGTACAATAAAAACCTCATGTCCATGTCTTGGAGTTCATTTCACTTAATATCATCTTATACGGTCATATGTACATAGCTATTAAGCTAATCTGCTGATCTGCTAAGATTATCCTAGCTGTACACTAATTATTGCAAATAAGGGAAACCATGGGATCTATATTTCTTTGGGTCTGGCTTGCTTCACTCAATATGAGTGAAATCTTTCCATTTCCTTGCAAATGGATGCCACTCCTTCTGATAGATGCATAGAATTACCATATATATAGAGAGAGGTAAAGTCACATGCTCAAAACCACCAATCTAAGGTAGGAATGAGTTGGCTGAGAGAAGAATCATCTGGTAAATAGATGATTCCTTAGACTTTGTTCTAGCCCCAGTGAATCAAATTTCTTGGGGATGAGAATAAGATCCATAAATCTGTATTCTTTAACCAGCTCCATAGATAAGGCTGATGTCTGATACTCAGGAAGCACTGAGGCCAGCACCTAAAGAAACTCAGCTTCATACATGCAATCTATTACTTCTGGATTTGATCCACAAAAGAGGTGAGTGGGGCAATGATGTGCTCATTTTCCAACAGCTCAAATCCTTTCAGGTTGGCAGTGAGGAGGGAGCAGGTCAGGTACCACTTCACGTATAGAGAAAGTGAGGTCAGATGGAATGATGACTAAGAAATGAAGGTGATGTGAGGCCAGTACCAGGTCCTTTTGGAGTCAGCACCGTATTCTATGTGCCAGGCAGCCCTTAAATTATACAAGCCCTTTGCCTACAGGGTAGGAAGGAGTACATGCTTATAATCCCATATCCTCCCCTTTCTTTGTGTACTTTTCCCAGTTATTTCCTATCATAGCAGTACTGTGGATTTCAGTGACCACTAGCTGTACACCACAATACTAATTCTTTGAACTCTACCAAAAAAATGGATATATACTTGACCAAATAGAGAAACAGCTGGGGGAAAAAAACCAAGAATTTGCTCTAAAAGTGTATCAGTCTCAATATTCTAAAAATAAAAGTATTTTTCCTGTTACTTATTGTAGATTTTTTTATAATGATGAGTTTTATATAGTCTGATATTAATAGGAACAACTTTTTATATCATTCTTCATTCTTTGCTCAAAAGAAATAACTTCCAAATGAACCAGACAACCTCCATAGTAAGAGCAATTTACCCTGTGATTACGGCTCTCTATTTTCCCATCCTTCTGCGACAGGATTTTTTTAAAATGGTAATTCTACTTGATGAACTCAACTTATACTTTTCCCATTACATTTCTTCTGCCACCACCAGCATAATTAAGGGTAGCGTGGCAAGGAACAGATGTGCAAATTAAAATTAGTACATTCTCTTGCTATAAGATTAAGTATACTATGGATAAGAACTGAAGAAATTGCCTTCAGCTTTAGTTATTTAAAAGAGTGACAACTATTGTGTATGACACAGTATTTAAAAAAAAAATAAATAAACATCTCAGTAGATATTTACAAAAATATCCTGTGGGACTTTTAATGAGTTATTTTAAACTTACCACAAACACCAACTTTCCAACATTCGTCCAGGGGAAATCATAAAGTAGTTGTTTCTCTTCATCTAGATTCTGTGGAATGAATTAAAAAATACAGATAGAGTTAACAGGAAAAATGATACTTTAAACTAGCTCTGACTTCTCTCTGAGAAAACCAAAATTCAGCAATTAAAATCTGAAAGAGCTCCTCAACTCTCTTTGGAGAAGTGCAGATAGTAATTAAAAGCCTAGTGAAAAATTCTTTAGCTTTTGGTTCCTGTGTGAACACATTAACTGGCCTTTTTAAGGCAAGCTTTTCCCTTCTGGCCTATCCTTAAATTTAAATAAAAAGTCGAAAAGATTCAGATATTCATGAGGTGTGATGAGGGACTCAGACTTTTATAATTAGTATTTTGCCTACGACAAAGATAATACACGCTTATATATTTATATATCTTACAGAAAGATACCCTCTGTCCTGGTAGATGGCTGCAGGATAACCACATCCCACCTGCGAACCTGACAGTTATGGTTTATTCAGGGACAAGTTTTATCAGAAATGTACAGCGGAAATTAAAACATCTGGTAAGACTCCATATTAAAATGACAATTTTCTTTCCAGAGTTACTAAAGTTATCCAGGGGATAAAAGACATATGGATGATCAATGATACCAAAGAAATATGGTTGGATATTAATGATCTGTTAGTGATAAACCTGGGCTAATCATTGCTTACTGTTGGACTAGTCTGAGAAACTCCATTCATCCTACAACATCCACATCTTCACTAGATAGGCAGGAAACAGTAATGGGAAATGGACTATTGAGATTGTGCTAGCCCATAGGGGCTCACTCTAAGGGCAAAACACAGTTGACTCCATTTGACACTTATTTCTCATTTACCAACCTGGAAAATCTGTATTCCTCGCATGGTCAATCCAAGAGTCAGTGAAGCTTCAATTTCTCTTTTATCCTGTGAGAATAAAATTTTATGAAGAAACATTTTCTTCTATAATGAAAAATTCAGTACCAAAGAAATAGAAAAATTTCCAAAATAGAAAGTTTTTGACTTAAATAAATTTGCTCATCTTTCTATAACCTTTGTTTCCTACAAGATTTAAGAAAATCTTGAGCACATATTACAAGTCAATAAAGATAAATGCTGCATTTTTAACTCTTAGATTTCAAAGTTTTAAGTGTTTTCACCATATTATTTATACTCATGTCTGACAATATTGTAAATACTTAGGTTCCTGAAAACTCCAATAGACAAAAATATTTTTGCTGGGTTTTTTTGTTGTTTACCTTCTACTTTATGCTTAAGTCTTTCATTAGATGTTAGAATCCTAAGTCTCATATGTCATAGTTATAGTCTGAGATGGATCAAACTTAAATTTGGGCAAATGTCCTAGCTCCTTGAGCCTGAAGCCAATACTACAGACAAGTGTATTGTGAAAATTTTGCCTCTCAAAAAGCAAACAGTGCCCCCAAACAAGTAAAAATTTATGGAAATCCCTTCTCGCAAGCCAAGGAGAATGCAGTGTGCTTAAATTAACTGATAAATGGAAATGTTCTATATGTTGCAAGGTTATGTATCTTTAGTGGAAATTGAGTGGCAAACTGAAGAAAATGAATCAAGTATTCATACCACAGTACTAATGTCTGCATCCTGAGCATTTGTAGTTTTTTTTTTTTCCTCAATGATGGTCTCCTTGACACAATATGCCCACAGATAACAAAAGTCTTCTTATTTTCAAAGTTCAAACTATGTGTAGTGGTGCACATCTGTATTCCCTGGGAAGCAGGAGTAGGAGTACTGTGGTCTAAGGCTATCCCTGGGAAGAAATGTAAGACCCTATCAAAAAAATAATTGAAAGCAAAAAAAGGGTTGGAGGCTCAAGTGCGAGACTACCTACCTAGTAAATACTCTATTCAAATCATAGTTTGTTCAGTTCAAACCTCAGTATTATTTTTTAAAGTTTAATTGTTCCTTGCCAACCTGATAAACCATTCTATTAGCGAAACAATAAAGTATGGTTTACTAACTCTCAACAAGCATAAGGGAAAAACTGTACAATTGAAAATGTACTCAAGGCTGGTGTTAGTGGCTCACACCTATTATACTAGCTATTTGGGAGGAAGAGATTAGTTTGAGGTCAGCCCAGGGCAAAAAGTTAGTCAGCACCCAACCACCCCATCTCAGTGAATAGCTACAAGTTGTAGCATGCCCTTGGGTCATCTCAGTTAGGCAGGAAGCTGAGACTGCAGTTCCAGATCAGTCCAGGCGAACAGTTCACAAGATCCCATCTCAATACAAAAGAAGGTGTGGTAGCATGCAACTGATATCCCATTGTGGTGGGTAGCCTAAAATTAGGAGGATCACAGTCCTGGCTAGCTCAAGAAAAAAAAGTGAGGTCACTATCAGAGCAAAAGTAATCCGAGCCAAAAGGGGGCTTGGGGCATCACTTAAGTGGTAGAGTACTTGCCTAGTAAGGATAAAGCCCCAAATTCAAGCCCTAGTATTAGTGCTTAAAAAATGCACTCAAATTTGACCATAACTTTTAAGTGCTCATTTATAATAAGAATTTCTAAAGTATGAAGTTCAAATTGGAAGATAAAGTTACTTAATAACTAAAATATTTTCATTATGTATGTGGGTCTTCATTAGGCTTAATGTCAGTTTTTTCATGGACATGGAAAAAAATATTTTTAGAAAACGTATCCTTGCCTGGCATAAAGAAAAGACAGCCTATTTTTCATGATTTGGACAGTGGTTTTTCACAACAAAATGAAATGTCTTTTTATGTTGAGAAAGGCGCATATAGTACAATGTGTAAGAGGAGAAAGCAATCCAACCATCTAAATGTTGGCCAACTGTCCTTCTCAGGGCAGAACTGATTGCTTTCTGAAATAAGACCATGTTCAGAAAAATCCTGGTTGTACAGGTATGAGGTGGCAAATGAGCATAAAACAATTGTTTCAGAATGTTTCTCGTCTTCTCTAACTTTTCTCCACTCCAACCAGCAACCCTTAAATGAAGCACATTTAATGGCTGTCACTTAAATTCTGCAAAGAAATGACAGCTTAACATCAAGTAACAATGTCTATTCACCTACTTCAGTTATACTTTAACTATCTTATTTTAAGCAGACAAGAAAGCCATTTTCTATGTAACATGGAAGAACCACACAGGAAGCAGATTTGGAAAATTACATGTTTTACAAAACAGATAAATTAGGTATATCTACTTTAGTAGAAGATTCTTTATTTTTGGTACTAGTCCTAGGGCTTGAACTCAGGGCCTGAGCACTGCCTATGAAGCTTTTTTGCTCATAGACAGTACTCTACTGCATGAGCCACAGTTCTACTCTGGCTGTTTAGTGCTCAACTAGAGATAAGAATCTCATGGACTTTCCTACCTAGACTGACATCAAACCATGATCCTCATAACTCAGCCTCCTGAGTAGCTAGGATTACAAGCATGAGGATTTTATTTTGTTAGTAGTATTCATTAAATAAATAGCACGCTTCCTCAGCAAATAAGGCAGAAAACAATTAATATATTTTGTTCACTCACTAATGTGCTAGGCATTCCTGTTACTTCAGATTCATTACCTCACAGGTCTATTATAGTATTTTTATAGTATTCCTTCTTTATAACAGACACAGTCCAAAATTTTGTGGTCTAGATCCCAATTAGTATCAAGAGAGATAGTTTCCAACTAGTATCTGATATACCATTCACACTTCTGCCATAGGTTGAATCCTGGCTTTGTCACTTAGTTTTTAGACTTAGTGAGTAATTTAACTCTGGCCCTAGGCCTTATCCCTTAGCTCTATAGCTCAAGGTAAGTGCTCTACTACTTGAGCCACAGCACTGCTTCTGGTTTTCTAGTGGTTTATTGAGAGATAAGAGTGTGCCCTGACTTTTCCTGCCCGGACTGGCTTTGAACCATGATCCTCAGATCTCAGCCTCCTGAGTAGCTAGGATTATAGGCGTGAGCTACCAACACCCAGCTTGCATTTCCTTTCTTACAGAGTTACGAGGAAGTTTAAAAAGACAAATATAAAATATGAATAAGCACAGTACTCCATAAACATTAGTTGTTGTGTGATGTTCTTAAAATTAATGAACACAATACAAGCGTGGGTTCAGTTAGAAGGCCATTACACAGTATTGAGAAAACTAGTTGCAAATGTTGCTCCTCAAAGCAGAAAAGCCAATATGGATAGGATAAATCAAACCATTCTATAATTACAGAAAAGCCAGATTTACAATGAACAGCCATTTGTTACCTCACTATTAGAAATATAAAAAAAAACACTCCCCCGTGCTTCTAAGCTAGAAGAAAAGCACCATCGCTTCTCAGACTGCTGTGATAACCCAGGACAGTTCAACCAAACTCTTTTAAAAGGAAAGTACAATTTTCAAGAGAGTTCATGAAATCTTGTTCAGGGTGGTGCCTCTCTGAAGCCCTGCATTTGGTGCATTTATACCTTGTACAGTCTGTAGTAATGAACGGCAACATCATCCAGTCGGACGGCCTCTTTGATGTATTTCAGATGCGCCTCAGAAGCAGTCAGGGCAAACTGATCTTTGTGCATGTTTGGAATGTGCTTCAGGATGTACTCCTTCCCCCTCTTGGAAAGAACCTGTTGGGATATGAGGGAAGTGCAATGCAACATTTGTTGGAGGGATGTAATAACTCACTCCCAAATGATGAAATGGTGAGCATCTAAAATAGCGCAGGTAAACGGGCCAATTTCCTTTAAAATTTCCCACTTTTATCTGTTTTCCCTATCCATTAAATTACTAATACTAGAAGATACAAACTCCACTTGGCAGTAATGCTGCATAGCTAAGCAGGAAAATAAGAAAGGGGTAAAATAGGTTCTCTTGGCATTACAGTCACCAAGAAAAAAAATCCCTACCAACTTGTGTAATACTGTAATACATCATAGTTTATACTGGTGAAATGTCTGGTACTATGAAAAACATCAACTGTCAGCACATCTGCTGGTTCTGGATCCTACTTAGCTCTTCTAAAATTACAGCCACAGAATAGGAGATTCTCAATGTTCATCCAAAGAAGGCAAGGGACTGGGGAGAATTCTCCAAAACTCTGTATAAGAGGCAATGAATACTCTATTTGAATACTTACAAAAAAAACTGCATTCAAATAGTCACTGTGATTTGCTGTCGTTTAGATTTTCATTAGTCTGAGCTTTCAGATGTCAAAAAATATATAGTATCTTACAGCTGCAGGCTAAGAGAAAGGTGCTGATTATCAAAGTCTTAGCTGATTACATAGGGTTATAAAAAGTGAAAAGAGGGCTGGAAAGGTGGCTCAGTGGTAGAGCACTTGCCTTGCATGCCTGAGGCCCTGGGTTAGATTCCTCAGCACCACATAAGCAAAAAGAAAAAAGCCGGAAGTGGCGCTGTGGCTCAAGTGGTAGAGCGCTAGCCTTGAGCTGAAGAGCTGAAGGACAGCGCCCAGGCCTAGAGTTTAGGCCTTATGACCGGTCGGACCGCCCCCGCCCCCCCCCCCCCCCAAAAAAAGTGAAAAGAACGATGCAATGTAGAAAAAAGAAGTAGTGCCTAATATTATCAGGAAAAAAATTAACGACATTTCAGCTTAAAATGGTTTTATTTATGCTAACATTTTCTTCCTTCTTATTGAAGGAATATAGTAGATTACTGGGCATTTATCAAGTTTTGCTGAGAACTCAAGCTATTGGTTTTCCTCCTAGATTCTTCTTCATGGAGATGACTTAAAACACTGTACATCACCCTTATTTCCAAGTCAAAAACACACAGAAGCAACTATGGGTACAGTGGATGATTTGGCTGATCTCAAGGACGTGGGGAGGAAACTGGTGCCCCTGTATGCTGGATGCCATGGCACACACTATTCACGAAGCTCTGATTCAAAGGGCCATGATTCAGTATCTGATGACAACCACAGGATACAATGCACACTATAGACAATAAAGGCTGACACACACTGTGCTTTTCCTTTAGCATCTTGTGTATTGGGAGTCAATCAAAAACATATTGGCCACTTCACTGTGAATTAAAATTAGAAACTGAAGAGATCATGGTCATACCTGACCCTAAGAACATATAAATACTGAACTAACTGGGGACAAGAGATAAATAATTTGAAAATGGATGTATAACACTTATGTGCAGAAACTTTGAGTCTCTGATCTGGACCCCCCAATTAGAATGAATGTCTAGACTGAATTACTGGTTAAAAAATAAGTCAGCCAGGTAAAACGGAGTAGGGATTCAAGGGCTAAAGGAACTGTAGGAAGGAAGAAAGGCCCAGATGTGTGAAACACCACAGACAGTATGGAGACAGCAATTGTGACAGAGATCAAAGTGCAGCACAGGTAGAGAGAAAGCTGGCAAGGGCTACATAATGGAGTTTCTAAGTCATGCTCGGAAGCTGAACTATAGACAACAGGGAAACCCCTCAGGAACAATGTCATTTCAACAAGCTATGGAGGTAACACTCAAACAGGGTCCAGTCCAGAAAACACTAGAAACTACAATAGGAAACAGTAGGAACAATGAGGAAAGTCAACAGCAATAGGTATAAGAGGACATTATTTCTTTTTTTTGTCGGTCGTGGTGCTTGAACTCTGGGCCTGGGCACTGTCCATGAGCTCTCAGCTCAAGGCAAGCACTTGAGCCACAGCGCCACCTCCAGTTTTCTGGTGATTAATTGGCGATAAGAGTATCATGGATTTTCCTGCCAGGCGGGCTTTGAACTGTGATCCTCAGATTTCAGCCTCCTGAATAACTAGGATTACAGGCATGTGCCACTGGTACCTGGATAGAAGTACATTATTTCTTAAGCAGGGTGATTGGTTATCAAGTATTTATGGCTGAAGATGTTACAGTTGACTGATGGAACAGGAAGAGAACATGGAGCATTCCATATGACTCCAGTTTCTATGCAGCTGTCCCTAGCCCAAACTGGGGATACAGAGTAGGATCAATTCTGCAGAAGTGAGTGAAAAGACAACAAATCTTACTTAGGGCATCTGAAGTTTGAGGTACCTGCAGGTAAACAGCTACACAGAAGCAAGTGAGAGATCTGGGAGTTACCTGTAAGAAGGGGATTGTTGAAAGCATTAATTTGGATGACCTTTTTTTCAGATGTGAATGGTTAAATGTCAAGGGCAGCAGTGAAAGATGTTTACTGGATTTGGCAATGTGAAGGTCACTGGGAACCTTAAAAGTCCGCACCTGAGTGGACTGTAGGGAAAGAAGGCAGGGGGAAGTGCTGAGGAATATATGTGGGCAGGAAGAAGCTAGAAAATCTCTGCTTTCCAAAGAAGGAAGTCAAGTGCGGTTGCTCGTTTCTCCAGGATATGTGGGGGAGACCATGTTCTATGTGTTCCAACTGAAAGATAATGACCTTGAGGAAAAACTAATAACACAAGCGAGAGAAGAAACAGCAGAGGCCTGGAGGAGGGATGGGACCAGAAACAGCCAGAGGCATAGAAAGAGTTGATGTGGAATAAGCTACATTTTCTTGCAGAAGTAAGGGGGACACTGGAGGTCAGAGGAGTTGTTGATTTAGATTCATTTTCTCAGCCCAGGAAAGCAGTGAGTGATCTCATCTAAGGAGCAAGGTTTTTCTGCTCAGAGAAAGAAAACACTGCTCCATTAGAAGTGGAGAAGACTATCTAGCCATATGTGTGTCAAAGGAGACTGGCAAATTCAAGTTCCACTGTGTGGAGGGTGGACAGCAATCCTCTTCTTCATTGGCTGTGGGCAGACTGAGAGACAAGACATAGTGTACCCCTTGGTCTCAAGCATTACATTTATATTTGGACAGCATCGTGAGTAGTTTTCCTGGCTCCCAAACACATGGTTGCCCATCTCTTGAAGGAACATGAAAAGCAGCACAAGAGCTAGAAATATACCAGAGAAAATGCTGGTGAGAATCTGTGAACTGCCTACCCAAGAGGGGAAGTAAGCTTCAGGCTCAAAGTATTTTCCATAGTGCTTATTCCTTTTGAAGTTCCCAAGATCAGCCTGCAGGGCAAAGGCTGCCAGCAGGAAGTAGGCCTCCTCTCGCAGCACACACTGAGAATGAAGGACTTGTTTTCTCAGGTGCCAGTAATAATAGTATCTTGCTGTTCTGTCACTAGGAAAATGAAAGAAAACAGCAGTCACATTTTAGTGGAACAATGCAATGGCATGTAAACAGAACCCAAATCCTGTTCTACATCTGCTGACAGCAGCCCCATTTCTGCCTCTTCACAAACAAAAAGGGGGAGGTCCTAGCTAGGACCTGATTGCTCCCTCAAGAGGTCTCAGGGGTCACAATTCCTTTTCAGATACCCAGACAGCAAAAATAACATTTCCTAATGCCTTACAGCATTTGATTTGCCCAGAGAAAGAGAAAAGGTCTCAAAAATCCCACTCCAATATGGTAAATAAATTGCACAACACAGAGTTTTGACGAGTGTTTCTGAATTTCTTGTATAATGATGCCACACTTTCAATGCAAACAAGAACACATCTAGGAACAATCTTGGTCTTAAAATTCTTTTTAGTTTTATTTCTTAGCTGAGCACATTATAATATAAATATTAAATGCCCCTTAGAAAATATCTGTTTATATGTCTTTTAAGAAAAGTTTGGTTAACCATAGTGCTTTTAGTATCTGTGTTTCTCTATGAATGAGTGAATTATAAGCTTTCCTTACATCTTTTTCTGAACTGGGTGTTAATTTATAGGACTGACTGTTTTCAGAGGCACATGCATGATGATCACACCCTCCCACCAAAGGAAATACTTGTAGTGAACCCCACTGAGAATTCTTTGCAGTCCATTGAGGTCAGAAATAAATATAGTCTCCATTAAATAAGTTGAGTAAGATGGGATGATAAAACAAAGAACAACAACAAAAACAAACCCGAGTCAAAAATGTTCATGGGCAAGCAGGATATTTACAATCACTGCAAAAAAAAAAGTGTTTTAATGAGCTTGTTTGCCTCCTCATTATTTTAGATTGACTATTTCCCTGAGATTGAGAACTCAATAGTACATGATAAAAGAAGCATATGTGTTTACATTAACCAAGACCTGTTTAAATATGACAGGTTTAAAATTAAAAGCATTTATGTAATTCTTTTCCCATGGGATATAATACTTTTCAGACTGCGTGTTGTTCCAATGCTAACCATATACTGCTTGTGTATGGTGTATGATTCATCCCTGGGGGGATAAAGCAGCATAGGGATGAATTAAACATTCATTAGTACCCTAGGGTTAATGAGGGGTTAATGTATTTTCCTTCTTTGCAGGGCATCCATCCTTACCAGGTAAACTGTCTGAAAATTTTATATAAACAAAATGACTAATGATCTTTCTTAGTTCTTAAAAAAATCTTCATATATTAATTGTTTTGCCTTTAGTTTGCATCTGGCAATGATATAAAGTATCAAGTGCTAACTTTTCATGTAATTCACTAGCCAATTTTATCTTGATCACTTTCACAGAATTTCTCAGTTTGAAAATAAAGTGAATTATAGAGTTCATAGTTGTGTTTTCTTGTCAGCCAAGAAAGTTATCTCTGAAAATAGTTCCAGCATGAATCCTCCAATACTAAAGATTAACTGAACTTTTAAAATGGTGAAATCTGAATTTGCATCATGAGTATGGAATTGTTCATGAGTTCATCTCAAGAAAAAAGAATCAATTTAATGCCCAGGTCAAACTGTACCTAAGGTTGTCAAAGCATAGTTTCAGTGGATTTACTCTTAGTTTTAATGTTATTAGTAGGAATAGAAACTAGACCCAAAATGTAAAAGGAAAACCAGGTAATATAAACGCATATGCTTCAGAGGTAATACAAACTGCCCCTCCCCTACTCCCCAGCCCTGGAAGAGTAAAAATCCTTTAATCTCTCTTCACAGTAGTGCTAGTTCCTTCCTGGGGATGGATGTGCTATTGAAAATGTGAGCCAGTGATGATATTAGCATTTTCAGTCATAATTTACCATGATTTTTGCCAAGCAAAACTCTGTTTTTCAAGATTGAGGATAACACATATGTGAGTAAGCAAAAAAGTTCAGAAGGAAAAACCTGAAGTTTTTATGAAGTTTATAGTCTAATAGGTGGAGGCAAACAATAAACACAAATGACTTTTTTGGTATATATGTTAGAAGTGCTGTGGAGAAACAAATATTCAGAATTTTTCTTTGTCCTCATACCTGATCAATCTGCCATTTTCCACATAGTACTGCACACGGAAGTGTATAATCATGGGAGGCCCAAATTGGTCAATACCCTAAAAAAAGACACATGCCAAAAAACAAGCTGTGTTCAGTTACTTCAAAAATGGGTTTCAAAAGAACCACAATATCATTATTTGCAAGGCTCTTCTTAAATGCTGACAAGTTTAATCTATTTGTAATGAGAGGGGCTTATAATAGATGTGTACATTTGTCCCATGTGGAAACCAGGGTCATGTAAAACCAGGAAGTTAAACAGCAATATGGGGCACCATACCCCTAAATTTCATTCACAGTAATGCCAATGGCAACATAAGGGAAGATAAAAATAAATGCCATGGAAATTTCTAGCTGAGACCCAGCTCCTGGCTCAGCCCTGTCCCCTGTGGTGACCATTTGCTTCTTATTACAAATGTTCTCTTGTTCTCTTGACATTCCACATACCAAATTCTAACATGCTGTTTGTTTATTTGACATTCATGTTCCTTTCCCTGTAGCTTGCTATGAAGTAGCTTTCCAGTTTATCACAAGAATTTTTAACTACAAATTGGAGGATCTGAGATGAAGACACGTGATATCATTCCTGATTTACCAGAGTAATCCTGGAAACCCTATGTAAATTCTTGATAAATATCTACTACATAAATGGACTTGATGTTTGCTAAATAAAATAATAAAAGATCAAATGCAAGTATAGTAAAAGCAGATTAAAACATTACTAAAAATCTTCTAGAATTTTTGACAACATAGCCATGAGGGACAAGCAAATTATTTTTCCATGCATTCACTTCAAAGCATTACCCCAAGACTACTAAAAATGTTATTATCAAGTTACTGAATAGACACCAAGACTATCATTATATGTTATTAGCTATTCATACTTGATTAATCTGATATTTTAGAAATTATAATTCATTTCCCTTTTTTCTTTCTCTGCTGGGTAAGTACTGCTTATTTTTTGTAATATATATATAACAGCTAAAATAATCTTTCGAAAAATCAAAATAATTTTGCTCATAAATGTAATCTCACCCAAGTGACTTCGTATTGTCGTACCTTGCTGGCCTCTTTCTTCCATTCCTTTGGACAATACTTATAAAGCTTTTGTGACAGCTCCATATACACATGTTCATTATCTGCACATCAAAAAAGGAAACAGCATAAGCTAAAGAAGGAATAGATTTTTTTTTTAAGAAAAAATTTCAAAGAAACAACTTTTAAAAAATAAACCCTCAAGATCTATGAAAGTAGCCTGATTTTTGTATACAACCAAGAAAAGTCAGCAACATACTAAAATATTTTTTTAAAAAGGTCGTGTGGGCTACACATTAATGAGATTAAAAATTATTTTCTTTCTACAATACAGAATTCAGTACTACTAAAATGTGCAATGCCTAGAAGAAATGCTAGTTCCCAAGAAAGGTTAGTTCCCAACTCTTGCCTTTTTCTTAGTTTCTAGGGTCACAATAACTAAAGAGACTATCTTAACCTATGGATGGCCACTCAGTTTAACAAAAAATACGCTAGCTCACAGAAAACTGTTCTCAAAGATGTAAAATAGTGACATGAAAAAAACACCACCTTAATTACTACATATAAATTAGGGAAAATTGATAGCAGCCCATGAAGAGCCTGACCTCACTTTGTGAACAGTCTTTAAAAATATCTGTTCCTGGTGTTCCCCTTCATCAAAACACAGCTGCCACAGTAATAAACACTAGGAGCATTGCCTTTGGGACTGATCTTGTGGAAGAGAAGAATCTTGTGGAAAACAAACATCAATGCCAAAATGTTCCTTCAAGGGGGTGATGTCCATAAAGTGTAACAGAAATCAAGACTACTCAAACCTACGTAAAAGTGATCTAAATATCTGAAAACAAGCTAGTAAAACTACCAATTTTTTCATTTTTCCTGAAGAGAATCTCTTAAGAGACATATACATTTCCTAAAAGAAACAAACAATTAGCACCCCAGTTTTAGAGGGTTTTTTGTTTTGTGCTATTCCTGGGGCTTGAACTCAGGACCTGGGTACTGTCCCTGAGCTTTTTTTTTTTTGCTCACGGCTACGGCTTTACCACTTGAGCCACAGGCTTTGGGCTTTCTTGTGATTAATTTGGAGATAAGCGTTTCACAGACATTTCTGCTCAGGCTGGCTTCAAACCATGATTCTTAGATCTCAGTCTCCTAAGTATAGCTAGGATTACAGGAGTACGCCACTATTTCCTGGCTGGACAGTTTTAAATAAAAATTGACCAAAAAAAAAAAAAAAAAAAAAAAAAAAAACCAACCCAAAGGTGTTTTTCTCTAACCATAGCGAAGGTAGTATACTCCTGGGATGCTTTGCAGACAAATATCCATGCTGAAGTGGAAGTGCAACTCCGACTACACCAGAAATAGACAAGCCTGACTGTATTGCTGATTCCTGGTAAACACTGGGACTTGACCAGAAATATGTCAGAATGGGATATCAAGAATAAAGCTATTTTTTAGCTATAAATAGAATATTTTGTCATGAGATTTGAATAAAAGGAATAAGAAGTCCCAGAGGCAAGAAAAAAGATGTGACTTAAATCCACTCTCAGGTTAGTTAACACTATCTCCCATCTCTCATTTTTACTGATTAAACACAAAATGGACAAGACCAGACAACCTTCCAGTTGAATCTGATGTGTGTTTGTGTTCCTATCTAAAGCAGCAGCACAATGAACAGAAGTGATACTGCTCACCAGAATAGTGTGCACGCATGTGTGCACACACACAATACACACACACACACACACACACACACATATTCACTATATCACTACCACTAGATGATTTGATAAGTTTCTAGCTTGAAAATTCTGGAGCTTCCAGATAGCTATGTTTCTGGATAATGGTGTACCCTGAGGGAGAGGAAGTACCTTGTGCTTCTCCCCTGCCACTACACTCCAGGCTTGTTTCAATTGTATCCACTGTAATATCCTTTATAAGAAACTAACTGATAAAGGACTGGACAAATAAGCCATGCTTCTCACGGTTGAAGAAAGAAGTTAGAAATAATAGAAAAATGAAGGGCTACAATGAATCTCACAGAATTAGGTTAGAATTGAAAAAGTTAATTCAAATTAGTGCATATTAAAAATATGTGGAGAAATCTGTGACCAGAGTTAACATCACCAGTAAAGATTAATAGATACCATGTGTTTCCTGATACCACACACTGAGAAGGGCATAATATCATTTATCTGAATTCCTGCCCCCCAAAATGCATAACCTGAATTAATCATGGGGAAGCATCAAACAAAGCCAAATTAAAGGACATTATACAAAGTAACTGACTGTACTTTTCAAGTGTCAAGGTCATAAAAAACAAAGTGGGACTTAGGAGTGGTTCTGGAATAAAGTGGACTTGAGACATGACAACTGAATATAACTCATGGTCCTAGGTTTTCTTTGTCTATGATGACTATCATTTAGGACCAATGCCAAAGCCTAAGGGCCATTTAGTATAATATCAGGGCGAATTTCATGACTATATTATTTACACTATGGAAATATATGAGAATGATGTTCTTATTTTTAGAAAATTTACATTGAAGTTTGTAAGACAGGTAGATCATGGATGGAAAAAGCCAACTTTTTGGGGAATCTGAGTGAAAGGAGTGGGGGCAAGGGCGTGTCCCATCCCCTGGAGGAACCGTGATAGATAGGAAAACAACCAGACTGAATGTAGAAGTGAAAGCCAGCCTTTGAGATGCTCCTGAACTTATCTAGTTTGAACCATGCTCAGAGAAAGCAAAAACAAAAACCACTAAGACCTAAGAAAAGAATCAGCCAATCATCAAAATCCCCAGTAACCTCAAAAATGCCTGATCCTCATCTCTAGGACCAATACTGACTCCCAGTGCAGCAATGGTGCTATATTTCTCTGTCTAGACGCTTTCAATTTTTTTTGGGGGGGAGGGGGAAATCGGTTGTGGGGCTTGAACTCTGGGCTTGGGTGCTGTCCCTGCACTCTTCAGCTCAAGGTGAGCGCTCTACCGCTCGAGCCACAGCACCAGTTCTGGTTTTCTAGTGGTTTATTGGAGATAAGAGTCTCACAGACTTTCCTGCCCGGGCTGGCTTTGAACCATGATCCTCAGATCTCAGCCTCCTGAGTAACTAGGATTATAGGCGTGAGCCACCAGCGCCCGGCATTCATTTTTTCTTTAATAATATCCTAATAAAACTTTGTTTCTCCTATTCTCCTGCCTTTATAAATTCCTTTACCAATCCTTGTTTCCAAGTTTGTCTTGGTATATGGGAACTCTAGTATATTTGCAATATTTCTGTAAATCTGAAATTATTTTAAAACAAAAAGTTCAAAGACTGGGATGAAATTTAGATTTTGGTATTTAGATGGTATTAGAGAAGAGTGTTAGAATAGTTGTATTTTAAAATGTTAGTGTTTTAAGTACTGCAGAAATTATATCCTTTGTAACTATTCAATTAACAATGAGAATTTTAGATACCAATCTAAAGCTGTGAGAGAGGTTTTAGAGCATTACAATGATTTTATATATTATAGTGGTACATTATATGCTATTATACATTTGTCCAAACATATAGAAGCAAAAGTATAAACACCAGAAGTCAATCCAAATGCAAACTGTGGACTTTGAGTGATAATAATGTATGGATGTAGGTTCACTTGTGTACTGCTCTGGTGCAGGGTGTGCTGGTGTGGATATATGGAGTATGTGGGAACTATGCATACTTCCCGCTCAACTTTTCTAGGAATCCAAAATCACACTAAAAACTAAAGCTTATAAAAATATTCTCAAGTACACATGGATCCTGGAAGGCTGGTGGGGCAATGGCTTCTATCTGACTTGAGAAAAAACTGACAATGAGTGAGAGAGGACAAGTAGCATGTGCAAGGCCACACTGTCAGTTAGTGGTAGAACCAGAATTAGAACCAGATCATCTGATTCCTGTCCCAATGTTCTTTCAACATACTACAATCTCTTCTTTAAAGAGGACATCTTACAGACTCTTATTTTGAAATGTAAGAAAGCTATAAACTGGTTTTCTTGGACTGACTCGTTGAACAACAAAGATCAACAGTATGGGTATAGCTGTAATAAGACAAATTATCTTTGAATATAGAATAATAAAAGTTACTTAGACTCTATAAGTCATCTTATTTCTCCTAGGCCCTCCCTTGAAAGATGACTGAAGTCTGTACAAACACAATAATGGAGCTTAGCTTTTGTGTTTTTATTGCTCTGATTACCACAGGAAGAAACTGAAGAGCAAATGGGTGATTCATAGGTGTTCCCATGTTCCTTAGCCTCTTCTAAATGGGCAACTGAAAACAGTTCACATTTTGGAGAAAGGGTCTGGTTTATCAGTTGATAATGTATTATCCAAGTTGGTACACATAAACATTTGCTGGTACTGACCAGATATTCACCAGTTTCAGTAACATAAACCAATTCACATCCATGTGTGAAACATAATTAAACAGTTTACAAGTCTTCTTAATAAAAATAAAGATTTTTGGTATATATAAAACTATAGAAATTTCAAATATGATGTAAAAGGAGAAAGCTTATAACTCTCAGGTGAGTCCCGAGTGTCAATCGTGAAGGTATTATGCAAGGGTATGTGGAGTTTGCTAATTGCAAATTTCTTCTTAATAGCAAGAATATATGAATAGAGGATTATCAGTTCCACCATGCTCAAATTTTTTGTAATTTCCAAGTTACTGTAATTGATAATACATTATAAAACATATGTAGGATCCTTTCCTCCTAACTCTAGTTATTTCATTAAAAAAGTAAATTCTAGATTCCTAAAGATGATTCAACTACAAATTCAAACTAATAGATTCATGACATAAAATCCTAAATCTTGTAAGATATATAAGGAGCTGAACTTAAAAAATGAGTATTATACTATCAATAAAGATGATTTAATAAATATTTTTCCAATCATACTTTTAAGCTAATCATGATTTAGCTATAAAAATGTCATTTCCTTAGGAATAGTTGGTTAAATCCATCAGAAAAAGGATTAACACTTACTTTGTATAACACTGAGTCCAAACAGATGACAATCCTTTAGCCTGAGCAGGTCACATACTTGGACCAGCAATTGGTGACACAGAATCTTAACCTATAGAAGAAAGAGAAGAAAAAGAAAAAAAAAAAGTTGAGACAAGCCCACATGGTGAGCCACATCAGGATTTTAATGCATTATAAATATACCCCTTGATAGGACAAGTTAACACTAGTAAAATGTCTGCTAGTTTGTGGAAATCACTTTAATCTGTGGCTGTGATTCAATAATGATTATCACAATATCAATTTTTACAGCATAGTATTAAAGTATCAATCCAATCTTGCACAAGACCTATAAATCTTATGACACATGGATAAGATGCCTCCAACAGTCTCCTCTGACTACTTAAAGTATTAATTTGGCAATATTCTTTCCTTTCTAAAGTAAGTTTATATACTTATTTAAATCAACAAAATTACATACTAATAACATTAAAATGATATTTTACTATATGTACAAAGAATGAACTAGTTAATTAACATGTATTACATATATGTTTTTGTGTAAGGTGAGAATTCTTAAGTATAAGAACATACTTATACTTAGTAGTTTGCTAGCATATAACACATTACTATTAGCTGTAATCACTATTTTGTATAAAAGAGCTCTTTTTATCTTTTTCTTTTTTTTTGGTCGGCCGTGGGGCCTTAACTCTGGGCCTGGGTGCTGTCCCTCAGTTCTTCAGCCCAAGGCTAGCGCTTTACCACTTGAGCCATAGCACCACTTCCAGCTTTTTCTGCTGATGTGGTGATAAGGACTCAAACCCAGGGCCTCATGCATGCAAGGCAAGCACTCTACCACTGAGCCACCTTCCCAGCCAAAATTTCTTGTTATTTTTCCTGTGTAACTGAAATTTGGTATACTTTGACCAAGCTCTCTCCAATCCCTTCACAGCCTAGACACTCAGAACCACCATTCTACTCTGTCTGAGTTAAACTTTTTGGATGTTACATAAATGAGATTATGTGCCTGGCCTATTTCACTTACTGTGATACAATATCCTCCAGGTTTGTTCATATTGCACATGATATAATTCCCTTCCTTTTATGACTTAATAATATTCCTTTGTGTACGTATAATACTTTATCCATTCAACTACCTATGGACACAGGTTGACTGCATATCACTGCAATGACTGTCAGCATGTAGACAACTCTTCAACATGAGTTCATTCCTTTTAGAAATACACATAGGAGTGAAATTGTTGGATTATATGATAATTCTATCCAAGCGTTTTTTTGTTTTTATTTTCAGAACTGGATTTTATTTTATTTTATTTTTTGTCGGTCATGGGGCTTGAACTCTGGGCCTGGGCGCTGTCCCTCAGCTCATCAGCTCAAGGCTAGCATTCTACCACTTGAGCTACAGCACCACTTCCTATATGATAACTCTATATGTAAGTTTTGAGGAGTGCCAGACTGTTCTCAATAGTGGCTATGTGAATTTTCATTCCCACAAACAAACTAAAGGTATTCCTCTTTCTCCTCATCGTCAGTAACATGTGTTAATTGTTCTCTTTTTGAAATAGCTATCCTGACTTTTTTATTTTTTTGGTTTTAACTTACATTCCCTTGATGCTTAGTTACTTGTCTTTTTTTGAGAAATATCTATTCAAGGAAAGTATCCTTTCAAAGAAAGTGTTCTCCATGGCTTAAGGAAAATGCTTATACTACATAAAGACAAGACTGCCTAGCTTTACTTTTTAATCAACCATCATTATTGTTTAATATGTTTTCCTTAGGATAATTCAATCACAAACCATATTAATTTGCAACTCTGGGGATACTTATCATGAGCTAAAAAGACCAGTTTTGATGCTTTCTCAACCGTTAATAAAGTATTAGGTTGGGGGATGTAGTAATTAAGAGTCTGCCTTAGCAAATGCACATTCACCTCAGGTTGACAATGACGTTAAGAGACCACCTGGCTTGTAAGTCCAGCTCAAAGTCATAAAAAAGGCAGTAACTCACAACTCATTTGTATATTGAAATATTTATGGGTTGGCAATGTGGCTTAGTGTATACTGCTTGCCTAGCATGCATGCATGAAGATCTGGGTTCAATTCCTCAGTAGCACATAAACAGAAAAAGCCAGACATGGCACAGTGGCTCAACTGGTAGAGTGCTAGCCTTGAGCAAAAGAAGCTTAGGGACAGTGTCCAGGTCCTGAATTCAGCCCCAGGACTGGCAAAAAATGGAGAGAAATATTTATTAATATTTATAAATACATATCTTAAGCTGGCCACCGGTGGCTCATGCCTGTAATCCTAGCTACTAAGGAGGCTGAGATCTGAGGATCGCGGTTCAAAGCCAGCCTGGGCACAAAAGTCTGTGAGACTCTTATCTCCAATTAACTACCAGAAAACCAGAAGTAGCCCTGTGGCTCACGGGGTAGAGCTCTCACCTTGAGCTGAAGAGCTGAGGGACAGCACCCAGGCCCAGATTTCAAACCCCATGACAGACTAAAAAATAAAAAAACTCAAAAAACAAAAAAAGCCATATATTGAAATATGAAAAACGTGAGTTTATAATTTTAGCTACACACATTGATTACATGTAACATTTTCTCCTCTCATAGCTGTTGGCAATTTTCAATTATATTTTTAATTATTATAAATTATAACATAGTAACAATTATTATAAAGTCTAAATTAGTTAACTGATCAATAGCTTTATTTCATACTATGGAAATGTAGATTACAAAAATAAAAACATTCTACACTCCCTTAAAAATGAAAAGCCAAAACATTTCAGAACTGGCAATGGTTCTAGTTATAGTAAGATGGTTTTACTCTTCTATTCCACATTCATTATTAAATGGGAATAAATTTGAAGCACCTGACCCATTGGAAAGCTATAGTAGATACTCAGTTGCTTAAAAAGCACCTGGAATTCAATGAAGCAGATAGTGTTGTACTGTAATCAGCATATGTAATAGGATCCCAATACACTTTTGATGAGGGAAAGCCAGAATTCTGATTCCTTGTGGGACCTCCATGCCTTTGAGTTCCAAGACTATAGATTTCTCCCTAACTTACTGAGTGAAGCATTTAATAAATATCTAACAGAATGCATCAATGCAAACCCACCACCAGCACTATGAGAACACATCTGCCAGTAGAAGTCACAAGCATCCCCTTGGTGCTAGCTTGACTGGACCCACTTGAAATCTTTGGTTTCTGTCCTATGGAAGTCCTGTGTTACTTCCAACATTCATTAAAAAGGCTCTGGATTTTGATCGCCATGTTATCCAATTTCACTTTGCAAATCAGCATAAACAGAATGACAGAAAATAAAGTATTAATGTCATATACAATTCTTAAGTTGAACTAATCACAAATTCAAGAGTAAAGTAGCATATGGCTTCTAAAAGCACTTTCAATCCTTAGTTTCTACTTCTTGAATTTGACCTAGTTAGACATAAAGCCACCAGGATAAAATATAATAGTTAAAATTCCAAACTACAATTGAAATGCACATAAAATAAACTATGTTGTAACTTTGTATGACTGTTGGCCAAATAATGCTGTACTTTTCTTCCATGCATTCCATATAATTATTATTGTTCCGCTAGTTTAAATCAAGGACTTGGATCCTACTGATAATAGTAAGTACAGTGTTCTTGTTTAAAACTATAATTAAATAAGGATGTGGCTTTAAAGTCTTACCTGCTGTGAAAACAAGGCTGAGCTCTTTGTATTTGCATAGTATGAATCTTTAAAGTGACAATTTAGCTGATTGTGAAATTTCTCAACTTCTTTAATCTTCAGAAAGTACTGCACAGCATGCAGTATTAACAATAAGAATTAAGGCTTTATTGAAGACTATACTCTCTATGGAACTTTTAAATTAAAACAGCATTTGATCCAAAATGTGTCAGTGGTTATTCTGCAAGGATATTTAAAATATTCTCTAGAAAAAAAAACCAAACTCTTCATTTCACTCTTAGTACAGACTAATAAGCTCTTCATCATCAATTATACTGCTCTAAAATTTCATGACTCTCATATTTACTATAATTTTATTTCCAAAACTTTCTTTTATGTATTTAATGTTCATCTATTGATCAAAATCATTTCAAATGGCCCCTATTAATGCAACTCACAGGGAATTCAAAATGACTAAGAGTAAATTTACTCCACATCCTGAAAGGCAACATTTTATCAACTACACTTGTCTTGGAACAAATGTTCTTTGTTTAAAAAAAAAATCCAGGCTGTTGATGAAATAGGTTTTGCTACAGATAATTTGTTACATCAAACTCTGCAAACATCAAGTGTTATTTTTTTAAATATGTAGACAATATTTTGTAGAAAAAGAGAGACAGTTGGTGCCTTTGGAATTGTTTTCTAGCAGTGAGCAAGCCACCACATTAGGTAAACCCATCCCTCACTGGATCCAAGTGCTTGGTGGAGAGAAGTCTGGGCATGGCAAAAGAGTCAACAGGCCCTGGAATAAGAAATATTATAGGTCTTCACTGGTTTCAGACTCTTCATCTTGGTTTTAGTCATAGAGTATCCTAATAAACAAAGAGCTAAAAGACATAAGTATCACCCTATAAACGACCCACCCACTAAGCAATCCCAAAGGCCAGGAACCACACTAAGTACTTTATGAGGTGAGCACCTGACAACTTTTAAGTCTTCACTGTCCCCATGATAAGTGCGAAACCATTCCCACTTCACAGGTGAGAAAACAAACCAAAACAACTGTATCAAAACAAACAACAAAAATCCCAAGAAACATGCTTCAAATCACAAAGCAAATTGCCAAATGGGGACTTTAACCCATTGCTTGTGACTCTGAAACCCATTTTGATTGTGATATACAGCCTCATATCCCATAATCATAGTTTCAATCATCTTAGAAAGATGATTATACTAATGCTACAAAAAATGAAGGGGGTGTATTATAGAAATACAACATTACGATTGTTTCTAACACATTTATAAGATTATTTCTTTGTTGCTTTGTATGTCCCTCCCTCACAGTATAACCCATGCTTTCACTGTATTTGATGTTGGTATAATTTGTGGAGGGGAAGGGGAAAAACAAATCGTTTAAATAGGGATACAGGTGGACCCATTGCAACAATGAGATGTACAAGTCGTTATGTCGAAAACTTTGGTGGGGGTGAGGGGGAAGGCTTGGGGAGGGCAGGGGGAGGATGGGAAGGGATGGGAAGGGGAAACAAAGGAGGAGGCTACAATGCTTGATAAGAAATGTACTCATTATCTTGCCCATGTAATTGTAACCCCTCTGTACAGTATTTTCACAATAAAAAAAAAAATAGTAAAAAAAAAAGTTAAAAAAGTAAAAAAAAAGAAATACAACATTAATTTCTGCTGAGGGATTAAAATACAAGTTGATTATTTCTTATGTGAAGTGCTTCGAAGTGTATCAGATTTCAAGGTTTGTAAAATTTTGTTATATGTGCATAGACCCCATTGGCCAAATAGCCTTACTCCAAACTTAACCCCAAACTTCAGTCCAAACTTCAGATTTTTTAGAGTTTTAGATTCTGAACTTTTGGATCAGGAGTGCTCAACTTGTAACAATAGCGACTACTGTGTCAGACATCATGTTATGTGTTAACCTTGAAATTTCACAACCACCTTGCTGCACAGACATTATTCTCATCTTACAGGTGACATGTTGAAACTGAAGGAGGCTGAATTAACTTTCTAGGTCATGCTGTCGTGGGATTTGAATTCAGGTCTGTGTCTTAAGTACATCCATGTCTTTCACAACTACAGTGCTCCTCAATGATTCCTTGTAAAGGAAAGGTGACACGAATTGAGTACTTAGTACAAATGAATGTTCCAGGAATTGGGCAACTTGTCCAAAGTTCACAAAGCCAGTAAATGACAGGAGTTAGAATGTTGAGAACCTTATAATAAATACTTCTCAACAATGATATTGATAATATTATTATTAATTACTAAATACTAATTTACTTTGCACTAATTGTGCATCATACAGTATTCAAAGGGCCGGCTTCCTGACACAATGCCAATAGCACAATCCAGTAAATGGATGATAGAGAGTAAAAGAAACTAGGTGGTGTTGAGATATAGACCTTTGCTAGTCTGGCTCACAATTTCAGAGTATCCACAGCGCCTGTTTAGGGATCTTGTTAAGTACAGAGTCCTGTGTCCTGCCCTATACTTTTTACATCAACATTTCCAAGGAATGGAGCAAATTGCCTGAATATTTACCAAGTTTCCCCAAATAACTGTGATACAGATTCAAGTTTTAAAACCATAGATCAATAGGAAAAATGAGTTAACTATCTTCCAGTCTGTTCTCCAAAATTATCTCTCTAGTTACAGATTTTAGTATGGTTTGAGATTCTAGTATACTAGGATTAGATTAATTTCTTGGAAATTATCATCATCTCTTAGTATTAATTAAAAGCATTCTTCTCCAGTTAAAAGTTAGTATGATTTGGTTCTATATTTTGCCTGTGTGCATACACACACACACATATTTTACTGGACAAAAGGCAGAATTGAGATGTTTCTCATTGTTTATGCTACGTGCCCTGGATTATGTATATTGAAAAAATTTAAAGGATATATTTTATATAACTATATAAAAATCCAAACTGCAAGTCCATGTACATAGAATTATATTTTCAATTTGTTTTCCTGGTGCCTACATTGAAATGGAGTGACTTTATATCAGACCGTAAAAAACAAGTGCAAAAATAACTGCCTGCTATTTTCACATCAAAAAATAACTTCAAATACCCTGAGTAAGGAATTAGTGCACTACTAGAAATATTTCCAATAAATGGTAAAAAACTTATCCAATAGGCCAGTCTGATGTTCACACATCCTTGTGAGTGTAAATGTGTATTACCATAAACTCAAAATGATTTTGGGTCTCGGTCTAACATTGTCATAACTAAACTTTTTAATAAAGCTAAGTCATATATAATACATGTTATAGCATAATATTTAGAAATATTCTTATATACAGCTGAGCACTGGTGGCTCACACGTGCAATTCTAGCTACTCAGGAGGCTGAGATCAGAAGATTGTAGCTCCAAGGCAGCCAAAGTCCAAGGGATTCATTCTCCATTTAATGAGAAAAATGCTGGCTGGAAGTGTGGCTCAAGTTGTAACGCTCTAGCCATGAGCAAGTAAGCCAAGTAAAAATTCAAAGCTTTGATTTCAAGCCCCATTATTGGTGGGTATGCACATGAAATGAACACAAGGAAATATTACTTCAATTGTATTAAAATATATTATCATATGGGAAAAATCCAGAGCATTACACTAAGGCAATCTTTTCCCTAATTGCATCAGAATACAATTAAGTGAAAGAAAGAATATGAAAGGTGATAAAAGGAAGAGGGGCTGGAAAATGCGAAGTATGATACCAATAATTGTAAAGCGGTTTGCAATCTCTACCAAATGTGTCTGTGTACACACTGGTTTACCCTATGATTCACATATCCACTTATGTTCACATGAGTAGACAACATGTTCATAGCAGTTTTATTAATTAAAGCACAAATTTAAAATGACTCAATATCCATCAACAGAAGATGTGTAAATAAACCAGGCATGATCACAAAGTGGAATATTATACAGCAACAAAAAGAATTACTGTTAGGTATTTTACCTGACACATGTCAAATGTTGAATGAAAGAAGCCAGACACAAAGAAGTACATTATCACAGTTTCAGCTGCATGGAGATCAGAAGCAAGTAAAACTACTCTGTTGATAAGAGGTCAGTATACTGGTTGCCCTTTGGGTAAAGGTTATTGATTAGAAAGGACCATTCAAAGGTCTTTCTGGAAAGTTGTTTTTCAAGATTAGTGATAGTTACAATGGTGTATATACTATTGAGCTGCACATTTATAATGTCTGTCTTAATATGCAAATTATAATTTAATATTTTGAAGCTAAAGAAAATAGTATGTTGGTTCTCAATGTTCAGGTTAACTTTGTGAATTAAATGACTTATAAACCATACCTACCATCAGTTTTATGGTAAAATTCTCTAATTTTTACCTCAGGTAAGAAGATGTTGAAGGCAACTTCAATTAAGACGCAATGTTAAGTTTATGCCTATGTAAACCACTTAACACCCTCGTCCTGTCACATTATCACTGGTTTCATTATGTAATGATTTCACTTTTATACACTGACACCAGTCGCTCATACCTGTAATCATAGCTACTTAGATGGTGGGATCAAAGGACTGCGGTTCAAAGCTAGCCCAGTTATGGTGAACCAAGGTGTAACTTGAATGTGGTCATTAGTGGGAGAAGATGATATTTAAACATTTCTAAAATGGATATACTCACATTTATGATGATGTTCAGAGATTCATCATTGGGAAGGAAAATACACACACTCCGGCGGTCTTGCATGACTCTGTTGTTATGAAAGTTCAATTTGTTCATTGTGTTGTAGGCTCTCCAATGGTCAGGGCTGGGCTCTGTGTCCTCAGCAAGTGCTCAGGTTCCTGGCACTCCAAAGTCAAACTTTCATCCTTATCACATCCCGGACAGAAGAAGCATCATGGCTTTCCACTATGTAGCTTTCATAGCTGTAAGAAAACCCAAAGCGAGTCTTGTGAAAACAGAGCAGTAAGGGTGGAGACAGAGAGATGAGAAGTGCACAACTGCTCTTGTAGGCACAGGGACAGCAGGTCTCCAGCCAAGACTGCTTAATTCAGCACATGAGAATTCACTGAAATGCATTCTGCAATTTGCCCGCTAACATCTGTTGCTAGAACTTCATTCAGTCATGAATTAACACTTAAAGACAATGTATTCAAGACACTGTTGTGTAGCTCATGGAATCAGATCTTGCCTTTGAGAAATTTCTAATTACTAAGGATTTTGAAAAAAAAAGAAAATAATAACATCAAATCAAAAAACCAAAATTCTCTTTCTTCCATTACTACCAAACTTTCATTCATTTTTTCAACCACTGTGGTCTGGCTTTCACTTTGTTTACTTCAGCAGTAGGCTCTGCCAAAGGAAGCCAGTAATCAATATCAAGAGCACCAGGAGTATCTGTAGGATTTGCAGTACCAATTTTTCTATGATATATGCTATGGTTATTAAACCCTCCTTAAAACTTTCAACTTAGTTTTTATGAAGATCCACTCTCCTGAGTCTTACTCTGATATGAAAATTTTTTCTGATTGTCTCACCAAATATTCATCTAATTGATACAAAGAAGTAGGAATTGTGTGTGTATACATAAATTACACCATGTTAATATATCTAAGAACTAAGGATTTTAAATATCTCTCATATGTAATCAATTTATTAAACATCAATTTTATTTTGCTTCCAAATTTCAACAATCATTATTTTAAATTTTTTATTAAGTAGTTGTACAAAGAGGTTACAATTCTGTAAGTCAGGTTATGAGTACAATGCTTCCTGATTAGTATCACCCCTTCCATCATTCTCCTCCATTAACCATTACCTTACATTTCTGTTTTATGTCGCAGTGTACTGGTGTGACCTTGTAGGACAATTTTGAAATAGTGGCAAAATGTTTTCCTGCTTTTGCTGGGCACCAGTGGCTCAGCCTTTAAATCTCAGAAGGCTGAGATCTGAGGAGCACAGTCTGAAGCCAGACCAGGCAGGAGTCCATGAGACTTTTATCTACAATTAAGAACCTTAGCCAGAAGAGGAGCTATGGCTCAAGTGATAGAGAGTGCTAGCTTGAGCACAAAAGCTCAGGGACAGCACTTGACCCTGAATTCAAGCCCCAGGGCTGGTACCAAAAGCTCCTAAAACAAAAATAAAAACAAATCCTACAAACAAGAGAGATGGACCTATTTGCTCCTTAAACTGCTATGTTCATTTTTGCAGCAGAATGGGAAAAAATAATTCTTTACATGCCTGTGAGGTAAATAAAATCTAGTGTTTCTTTTTAATTTATAAATAAAGTACCATCAACAAGAGAATTACTGAAAACTAAATAGAGATGGTAATCTTAAATATGTTATTTCCTTATGTAAGAGGAAGGCAACAACAGTCCAATCAAAAGTTCTGCTTTTCCTAAAGGATGACAGCAGCTGTTTCCCATGGGTTACATATCACCCCAGGCAGTCACTGAAGGGCAATGCTAAAGTTCTATCTAAAGTAGATGGCCAACTGTGTATTCCAGGACCACAAGTAATTGTATTCCAAATCTATTCATTCATCTAGAAAATACATGCTTTTAGTGTTACATTTCTAAAGTATCAGTTGAAGCAAACTTGGTTGCACCAAAAGCACTTGTGTGATTGTCATAAGTGCTGAATCCTGAGTACTATGTATACTCACACTGAGTACCAGATAGATGTTATACCTGAACATATGTAGGATATATGTTAGGAAACCATATTAGAGATAGGGAATTTGGGATAAAAAATTGGGTGCTGGTGGCCCATGCCTGTAATCCTAGCTACTTCAGGTGGCTGAGGTATGAGGATTGTGGTTCAAAGCCAGCCTAAGTAGGAAAGTTCATGAAACTCTTCTGTCTAATGAACTGTGCCTCAAGTGGTAGAGCACTAGCCTTTAGCAAAAAACCTCAAGGACAGAGCCTAGATCCTGATTTCAAGACAGGACCCTGCACAAATAAACAATGACAATAAAGAATTGGGAATAAGCAACTATGTGAACAATACAATCAATACTATAACTGAAAGAAAATGTTTTCAACATTTCAAAAATAGGAGTCCTAAGACAAGTCAAATGTGTATATCCAAAACATTTTCCTTAAAAAGAGTTGGCCCCCGTACTCTTAGCCCGCTTGTGAAGTTTTTGTTCTAGATTGGAGTCCATCAAGCTACAAATGATTGTTAAGGGTTTCCAACCAAAACAGAAGAATTAAGAGAGAAAGGGGAAGCATCTATTAGGTAGACAGGGAAAAAACATGGCAGACATAGTAAGTGGTAGATAACATGTGTTCCATCGTGGCACTTCTTGTTCCCAAAGGGCCTTGGGCATCTTTTTAATAATGCACCTTTTTAAAATAATACTTTTGAGTTCCTGTACAAAAGCTTCTTCACATAATGCCTCGAGTGCTCAATCAACCATGAGCCATCATGCAATGATAGTGCAAAGCCCAATAGAGGAGATATGGGCGAAGCCTCATACTATAAAAACTGCTCTGAGAGGACCCCATTGGGTGCCTGTTTGAGACCCCTTTCTGAATAGAGTCTGGCTATTTTCTTTCACAGCTTTCCTTTCACTTTTAAATAAACATTGTCTATCTTTTAAAAAAATGGTGGTCTAGGAATAAATAACTTTGCCAAATATTGCCCACCCCCCATTTGGGATTTCTCTTAAAAATTCAGAAAGGATTTAGGGCTGTAAGAAGTCTTGTAGACATTTTCTTAGTTTTAAGTTAATATTTTTCAAACTTACTTGAACATACAATACTTATTTTTGCCAAGGCATATCTATTAACCTATAGACTAATACCTTAGGAATGACAAATATAGTTCTAAAAGATTTCTTTCTCCAGTGTAATATTCTATAGTAATATTTTCCCCCATGTACTGGTATATTCCAACACTTATGACTCTTATTAAAAAATGTTTTCAAGAATAAATTCTAAGTTATGATTAAATGTGAAATATTTGTAACTGAACCCTTAGCTGATATAAATCCCAGTGTACTTCTTCTTATTTAAATTTATACTTCATACTGAGTTACTCCTATAATTTTCTATTTCTAATTAAACCATTTAAATCTGGTTATTTCTACTGACCTACTTTGAGAATTTGACAGGTAATCTAGGAAAACTATCTTCTGAGGTTTGGGATGTTTCCAGAGCTTCATTAAAATTACCTGAAAATTTCACTTGGGTACAACCTTTTATTTTATGGTTCAAATATGTAATAGAAAAGAAGACCGGATAATTTAAAGCACATTTAATAAAAGCTGAGTTTGGAAGAAGCAGTACTGCTTCATGGCTGCATTTTCTACTCTGAGAAGGACAAACTAGAAAAGTCTTAAAGGAGAGATAGAATTTTTTTTACTTTACTCAGGATAGCATTAAAGCTGATTAAAATGTTCCACGGAAATAGCAAAATCACCCTATCTCTAATATGCACCAGTATAAAATTTAATCTTCAATTGGGCAGTCCTGGGGAAAAGGCTTAAACTAAATGTCTATCAATTTGAATTGTAGAAATTAGCACTGGAGGATATTCCCCTTACACTCATGAGGCTAATAGCCTAGTTAAGGACTCAACGCTGCTAAGAAACTTCAGTATTGTTCCTGACTCCTAAGAGTGCACATTCTGATGGGCAATTCCATGTCCACCTCAAGGGAAGCCACCATGGATAACAGCTTTAAGTATATGAACACTGTGCTGTAATACTGTGGTAATGATCGTTTGGATTAAGCAATGTACTGTCTTTAATGTATGCCATTTTCCCTTAAATGGAGTATCAAAGTGCCTGTAGTAAAATGACCTCCATTTTTTGTTATTTATTTATCGAATAGTACAAAATGCATACATTAAATACTTACTATGTGTCAAGTGTTGTAAATGCTAAATGAATAATCCTACAAAATACTCTGCTGGGATAGACACACACAATAAACATGCAAGAAGATAATGATATAAAAACTGTATTTCTGCTACGAAGAAAAGCAAATCCAGACTGGATGACAGAGTTGATGGAGACTGTGTTGTGGGATGTGGATGCTTTATCATATAAGATAGTGAGAAGAACTACTTCTCATAGGTCCATCTTTGAGCAGATAATTGAATCTATTAAGGTATGCTATTTCCTTCCTTCTGTTCATTCATTCATTCATTCCCTGTCCATCCATCTCAGGAAAGAGTTTTCCAGGCAGAGAGAATAGTAATTACCAAGGTTCACTTACTGTACAGAAAAGGTAAAATAATAGTACTAATGATAGTTAACATTCACTATACATTTGGAATGCTTAGGTACTGTTAAGGACTGGTGGTATGTTAAAGAAAACCACAAATTCTTTGCCATACTTCGCAATGATAAGTGGGAACTACTTCCCCTCTCCTTATATCTGGGACGGCCCCATGACTAGCTCATACTCAAAAGTTTTGCCTCACAGATTAAACTACTTGTGCAGACACTCTTTTTGTTACCTCCAAACACTCTGCACCAATGATTAGCTCAGGAATTTGAGTGCTATTTTTTTTGCTTGTCTCCTTTACTTATATCTTAGAGTACTCTTATCTTAATATTGCACATTTTCGGATGTACATGGCCCATGGCTTTGAAAAAGCTTCTTTTATTAGCACATATTGTATGAGATTTTATTCTAATTTCCATACATGCATGCAATGTATATGTGTGCATTTGATCAAATTAACCGCTTCTATTACTTCTTATCCTCTTTTCTTTAATTTTAATGGGTTTCATTATTCTATTTTCATATATGCATTTAAGTACTTCAATCACATTCACTGGTCCTTGGCCCTCTCCTCTGATATTTAGCTTTCTTAAAACTTAACTGTCTAAGTGCAGTGTATTCCCAAGCTGCCCACAGAAGTACCTTTCCATTATTACTAGATACTTGTTCCTAGAGGATCTTTTATTT